GATTGTACATGCACTCCATGCTCCTTGGCAGCTGTGCTGGCTGCCCCTCCCCAGCACAGAGAGCCTGGGACTGTCTCCACATGAACATAGCCTGGGCTGAACTTCTGTGTTTGAACAGATCCATTGAGACTGTATGCAGTGGATTCCAAGCTTACAGCAGAGTGTTCAGATACCCAGAAATAGGAAAGGGATGCTTCAGGGGATGTGGGGCACTGAGACACCAGAGAAGGAAGATTCGCTTCCAATGCAAATCTTTGGAAGCCTGTGATTTTGACTCTGAGCTGACAAAACTCCTGCCTGGGCATGATGAAGAGGATGGTGGAAAAGCCTAGAGGTGGGGAGTGGATGCCCTCAGCCTCCTGTGGACCAGGCAGTGTCCTTGATGCACAAGAAAGCAAATAAGAGTGACAGTGCCTTAACAAAAGCTGCAGTTTCTGTTTTTGCTGGTGCCTGTGCAAGCAGTTCAAGTGTCTCCAGCTGCATTTTCTGGAGCAGAAAGAGACAGGTGTCATCACCTCTGTCAAAAATATGCTTCTTGATATCCTGGGCACTGCAAATCTACGAATACCAGCTATGTAGTCATTGATGGGAAATTCAGTTTCCCAGGTGAGAACCTGATATCTGCATACACAACAAGGCTGTACAAAACATTACTTCCTCTAGGGATGATCAGGTTTGTCTTGTGAGCAGTTTGTTATGAGTCTGCTTCTATTGGAATTTACTTAAAATGACCCATTTCCCTGACTTGAAAGATAGAGAGAGACAACATTGCTGAGAAATTTGTATCAGTTTTGGTGATGAGTTTTTTACTGAGGAAAGTTTTTTTTTCAGTCCACCTCTGAGGAGGAAGTAATATTTGGGTCCCTTCTGCCTTGACCAGACCATGAATCTCATCTGCTCTTTCGTTCTGAGAAGTCTCTCCTGCTCTGCTAAGCAGGATCTTTCAGCCTTCCCTATTCCCTCTCTGGACCTGTTTTTCTCCCTTTTCTGTCCCCACAGTTTACAGCAACAGTTATGCTGATCCTGGGTATTCTGGTCATCCATGACGAGAAAAACAACGCAGCCATCAAAGGCGCTCAGCCCATGCTCACGGGTATGCTGGTCCTGGGCATTGGTCTGGGAATGGGGCTGAACACAGGCTATGCCATAAACCCCTCCAGAGACCTGCCCCCCCGGATCTTCACTGCAATTGCTGGCTGGGGAACGGATGTCTTCACGTGAGTGACCTGTTTTGCTCTTACTCTGCTCAGCTTGCCAAGGGAGGAGATAAGCACAAGATAAAATGTGTCATGAAGCCTTTTTTCTTTGCACTAAATGATGGTATTACTGCAGAGTGAGGGTTGTGCCTATAGGAGCCTTGTGCATTATGTACACAAAATTTGGAGTACACTTATTCTCTGCCATGGGATTCACTTTGACACTTAGATACCTCAGTTTGGGCACCAAACTGTCTTCCTGTTCACTGGAGATACAGCTGGTTTTTGCAGTGAGCAGAGAGCCAGAACACAGCTCACCTGAATGCAAGTGGATTGCTGAACAGGTCTCCTAAATGTAGAGTCTGAATTTGGACATGAAACCTTGCCTTCCTCTAGTAAGATGGTGTCATGTTATGGCTTTTCCCATGGTGAGATCATTACCAGACTCTTCTGTCCCAGATGCCCATTTTCCTTAAATTCCCAGAAAATACTTTTGAGAGCTTGGTAGAGGACTCACAGATTTTATTGGAAAGGGGGAAGCAAAATGCCTATATCTGCTGAGAGTACCACTCATCAAGACCACACAGCCCATTTCTTTTGGAGAACAAGAAACCTGCAGCGTGGAGCCACCTTTCCGTGCTGATGGGGAAAATGACCTTCCCTCCAGCAGTTAAGGGGGGGGACAGTGAATTTGTCTAAGCCAATTGTAGGCTTAGTGCCTGGAGTGGGACAGACTCCTCTGCTCACACAGCTCACTCCTGCCCCAGCAGGATGTGGCAGCAGAGCAGTGGTTCCAGTTGGGCTCACCAGCTGCCTCTTCTGTGTTTCATTTTAGGGCTGACCACTCCTGGTGGTGGATCCCAGTCACAGCTCCAATTCTGGGATCTCTTGCTGGTATTTTAATCTACAAACTCTTCATTGATTTTCACAACCACCCTGCCCATGAAACTGAAAATGAGAAAGAACAGGCAGGCATGGAGACTTCCAAACTGTGATGGCCACGTGCTGTGATGACATACATGAAGGGCACATCTGTTTTTCCACCATGCAGGTGGATGGGGATCATGTGATGGATGAGAGACTAGATTTCAGTAAACCTACTCTGCTTAAACAGACAAACTTGGTATCTGAGATATTGAGCAGGCCTGTGCAGGGCTAGACCTGACTGTGATCTGGAGAAATGATTCAATCTCTCTGCGTAAAAATCTACCAAAAAAAAAAACCAACCCAAAAAACCCAATCCAAAGCTCAGCCCCCAATCATCATATTCTGAAGAAAAGCAAAGCCGAACTACAAGTCTCCAGATACATATATATTAATTTACATCAAAATACAGGCATCAACAGTGGCAGATACAGCATGATTTAGTTAATTAACACAGAAATTTTGATCTGGAATATTCTTTGGTAAGAGGCAGATACTACAGTGATGGACCAAGGGCCTAGGCTTGCTTCATTTGCATATCTGTCACCCTAACAAACATCTAATTTGGAACAACACAGAAGAGAGAAGAACAAGGACAGTCTAAAATAGAAACAAGAACCTGTTGGGTTGTTTGGGGATTTTTAATGATTTTGTTTGTTTGGTTGGGTTTTTTTTTTGTTTGTTTGTTTGTTTGTTTTTGTTTTGTTTTGTTTGTTTTTTGTTTTTGAATTTTTTTTTTTCTTTTTTTAATCTGAACATTCAGGAAGCATTAAAAAATTACTAAACTACAGTCTCCTGAATCCTGCCACAGTTCTGCTGGAACACACTGACATCAAAGAATGTGTGTACTGACACTCTAGACTTGAGCTACACCAACTATCACCACAGGAAAGAAGTCAGAGAACTTCTGTGACAGTGTCTCCAAAAACTTGAACAAACAGCCCTCCCTCCATACTTTTTTTCTACTCTGAATGCATGAGAAATGTAAGAGGTTGCCCCACTGCTGCAGGAATTCTGTTATCTCCATCTGAATGAGGAAGTGGGCTTGTGACAGCCTTACAAGTTGAAGCTGTCACTGGATTAAAAGCAGAACACTATCAGAAGCTGCCTGCTCCCAGGAGAGTGACAACAGTTTTAACTTTTCTAGAAAGTGCTTAAGCAAGTATGGTATGTATGTCAAGCACATAACTGCAGTCCCAGGACTGGGTGCCATGAATATACAACACAGAGCTCTCCAAGACTAGGAAGTGACAGAACATCACTGCACAGAATTCCAGAAAAGGGCATTTACTGGCTGTAATGATCATTCCCATCCCAATATGAAAAGGATAACTGAGCTATTGCTATGGCATAGGGTAGGGTTGGGTGGGAAGTACTCATGTGTGCTTTCTTATTAGAGCTCACTTTATATCAGTAGAGCAGCTACAACAGATCTTCACCTGTCTCAAGATGCACATGGGCTTGAGAGGGTGCATTAGAGGATTTCTTGTCTCTGGGGATGGCAGAGAGCAGCTGCCAGGCAATGCAGCATTTGAAGGTGCAGCCTTGGCAGTGCTGGAAGTTGCAAAATACGTCTGAGCAGGGGCTGATGGCTGCAGAGATTTTGTACAGTGACTGCAGGACAGAAGTAGAACAGCTTCCACACAGTGCAGTCTTTTGGCCTGTGTGAAATTAACAGGGAATTTCTTAATAGCTCAAGAGGGATTAGCTAAAACCACTGTAACCCATCCCTTCTCAGTGACAGATTCTCTACTGCATTAAAAAAACACCCCAAACAATCCATCCTGAACACTGCTTTTGCCATACATCTTTGCATCCCATGTCCATGTGCTCCCCAAAGCATCTTCAAATACCCAATCACTTTGGAGAAAAATATTCAAATATTTATTAAAATACTATTAAGCACTTTCAGGATGGCTTCATCTTTCTGAAGGCCATACAAATAACTCATGAGAGCCTCACAACATCCCTGTGAGGTAGGTTTGTCTTATGCAATGTCTTGGTTTGAAAGACAGGTATCTTCTAAGGAAAGGCAGGAGCCCCTTTTCTGCGATGCAGAGTGCAACCCCCCTCCCTTTTAATTATTTTAGGTCCAAATCAGAGGCCTTCAGGCAGGAGATATGGGGATAAGAATAACAGTTCTTTACTGGTATCTAAGAAGGCAGAAAACAACAACAGCTATAAAATTGACAACAGAACAGAACAGTCTAGCTCCGCTCCAGTCCCTTCTGGCCGCAGGCCGTCTCCCTGTGCTGTTACCGGTGCTGGGGGCAGGGCAGGTCCCGCGCAGTTGAAGAGGGCTGGGTGATGGCGGCCGCGGCCCAGGGGAGAGAGGGGATGGGAAAGTGACTCCCCCTCACGGTGTCGGTCGTGGTACTCAGCAGTGTCCGGAGATAGCAGGGTGAGGTGGGAGAGCAGCAGAGCGATGTCCAAAGGCAGGGAGCGTGGATCTCAGTGCTGGGATGGCAGGGAAGATGCCAGAGCGGAGCCCAGGTTGTCTTCCCACTCCAGGAGCCAAGCGAGAGAGAGAGAGCCCAGCTCCAGACCCCCCTATCCCACCTTTCCTTTTCCGGTTCCCCCCCTCCCCCTCCACCCACCCCACTACGAGAGAACATTATCTGTCGTTTTAAGGTGTAGCCACAATTACTTAGCATAACAATGGGAGAAATTCCACAGAAAGAAAAGGGGAACAATCCAACCCCCAACATGCAATTACGTGGTGGTTTCAAAAATTAGAGATGATGCTGTTTACATAGTCAATGCTTACTTGAAGACAGTGATTTCAATTTCCATATTCAGGCACAAAATGTGTTGGGTGCTACCGTGATTCCAGCATATTTGGAAGACAGAATAGCATAGGAAAAGAATGGAAGCAAGAGGAGTAACTGAAAACCAGCAGTGAATGGGTTAAAGTGCAGCTCTAACCTGAAAACTTACAGTACAAAAAACATCATCAGGGGCTTCTAAGGCAGTAGGATCTCAGTGGCCCCTGGTGAGATCCTGCCCAACTGAAATGTGTCTGTTTCAATTGTGAGCTTTGCAGATGAATGTGTGGCAAACCAAGGGGTCCTCCTGGCTGATGAGACTCAACACCATTGACTCTCTGCTCAGCAGTTCCCACAAAAGGGAGGCAATAAAGGATCTTGCAGTTTCTGCTTCAGCATTATTTAAATCATGTCACTATCTGAAAAGATACAGCACAAAGGCCAAAAAGTGGTCTGGGATGCAGAGCATGTGACTAGACTAATGCAGAGATATGAAGTCCTGAGTCCCGTTGTACCATGAATTTCAGAGCAGAAGTTGGATGAAACACAGGGATGTGCAGAGTTTGATTCTATCTGGAGTGAAAAATACTTCTGTGTTTAGTGGGTTCCAGTTTGCTCCGACAGCATGCAAGGTCAGGACAGTTTTCTGTCAAAGGACAGGGTAGAAACATCTTCACACCCTCTACTTCAGCATGGGTCTGTTAAAGTTACAGTGAATTACATTTGCTTTCATTTCACTGCTGCAGCTGTACAAAAGCTTCCTTATGGAGCAGTGACATCAAAGGCTTCTTCATGCCCTCTGAAAAGTACATGCTGCAAGTAGCAGAAGAAACTTGTATCAAGTTTTTTTTTTTTTTAACAGTCTCCAGGAACTACATCCACATCACAGCTATATTTCATGCAAGAGCTGCAATGTGTTTTCCATGGGCACATCTATTCATGCACAAGGAACTTGGTCTGAACCACTAAGACTCTGCAGCAGAAAACATCAAAACTTACTGCAAATGTTACCCAGGGTCAGTTCTGGCGGGCTCACTTCCTTGAAGAATTCCCAGCTACTGAGGATGTCTTGGCAGATGTTGTGCTCGTGTGACTCTTTTGGGAGCCTGGTGGCTGTGAAGGTGGTTTCTTCTTGAGCACTGGAGTTTTGTTCTTGCTTTTAAATACCTTATTGGGGTCCAGCTTGTTCACAAAGGAGTCAGCTTCTTCAGACAGGAGTGCAGTGTTGATGGTTATGGGTTTATACATGTTAAACCATTGCTGAAAGGCAGGATGGTGGGGAAGGAACAGGTTAAATTCAAACTGCAGTCAGACAATTCCACCTTGCTCCCCATCTTCCCCAAGACATGATCTTAATCCTACGCCACTTATCAGTTTGCAGTTTACAGGACTTGGAAGAGTGCCTGTGATAAGGATACACAAGGCATGGCTACAGCCTCAGCCCTGGAACTGCATTCCAGATAGGGAAAAGGAGTGCCAGACACAACCCTAACACCACCTTTCCTGCAGTGTAACTCCTATCAAGAGTGAATCCTGATTTACACAACAGGAGGAAAAGCAAAAGGAGGGGATGAAACTAAATCACATTTATTTAGATTCAGATAAGCAGAAAGGACTAAAAAACTTTTGGAATTTAAATGTGCTTATAAACTGAAAACCAACTAGTAGAATTTCTGAAAATTTAACCTTCCTCCCTCTCTTCACACATAAAATAATGAATTTTTTTAACTCCTTACACAAAGAATTTTGTGTTTGTTTGTCTTATTGTTTCTGATTTTCGATCTGTAAATAACTATAATGATTTGGTTTTTTGATTGCACCAGACACCATAATTTTATGCCCTACAGTTCTCAACTATTTTTTTTTGTATCATTTTTCCATTAACAAAGTAAGGAAATAAAACTATAGTAGTTATGGAATTACAAATCACAGTGAAACATCAGAAAAGTGTTGAACGAGATAAACAGAATATCAATACCAAAATGTAGATAATAATCTATTAATGTACTGCTTAGTGAAAAACAGCTTTTATATACTCCCTTAAAAACCTTTAAAAATGATAATGATTAACAAACTAGGAGGATTTTAACCAACAGGGGCTGCAAATGATTAGGGAATATAAGAATGATTCCTCTTAAGGTTTGCAAATATACTGAACATAATAAAATATTTATAGCAGGGAAGTTACAGAAAGGCAGAGCACACTGCCACGTACACAGCCTTGACTGATAATGTCCAGTACAGTGTGACATGGAAGGCATCAGGAATGAGAAGAACCAAATTTTACAGCCCCTGTTTGATGGGAAGGGGGTGACTTTAGTAATTCCCATGTGCACATAGGACTAGGGAATCTCATGCTGTTAAGACAGCTGTCATGTTTGGGTGAAGTGCAGAACACACAGGACTTGCAAAGGTGCACTGACACTGTGCTGAGTTATGAGCTGTGTTCAGTAGGACCATCAGCTCCATTCCCTGACCTCCCACAGGATGGAGGCAGGGATAGGGCTGAAGGCCCAGTCAAACACATAAGAACAGCAGAAGCCCCTAATAGCAGGATTTTGGCATGGCAGAATACTAATTTTAATAATAATAATAAGCGACTGGAATGCTCACAAGACTTTATGTAGAGGTCCTCTCTAACTACCTCTAGGACTTTAAATTGCCCTCTCTTGGGCATAATTTGTATCAAGGCTGAACTGTTGAGAGAAAAGCAGGGTTAACACAATATTAGTGAATTCCAATTATCGTGAAACAAATGACTGTTAACACGTTACGGGAAAAAAACCTGTGGTCTCTTCCGTGGCTCACCAGGGAGGCCCCTTTGAGCTGACAGACAGCTTGCCAAAAGGTGGGAAGATGTTTTTCCAGTCTTAACTTATGCAGGATACTGACAGGCTGGATGCTGCTGTCCTACCTTGGCCTGGGGGCTGACCCCATAGCTGGTGAAGGCATACTGCCACTGTGGGAGACCCAGGTGGGTGATGAGCAGGCGGTAGTAGGCTGTGAAGGTTTTGGTGAGGAAATGCCAATACAGAGCTCTGTCCAGGAACCAGATCTCTGTGTCTGGGGAGACCACTAGAACAAAAAAACCACAAGTTACACTGTTGCTCTACAGTACTAAGATTAATTCCTACCTTTGTCAGGTGGGAGACACAACACACTCATCAGAAGGGCTGTTTTATGTACACCCAGGCTTGTTCCAGCCCAAGTGCAGAATCCAAAACTTGACTTTGTTAAACTTCATATGGTTGGTGGTTGCAAATCTCTCTGATTTGTTGAGGTCTCTTTGCAGGGCCTTCAAGGGAGACATCAGCTCCTTCCAATTTAGTATAATTGACAAACTTAGAACTCTTTCCAGTCCTGTGTCCAAGCTGCTCATGAAGACATTGAAGAGCAGTGGGCCCAAGATGGAGCCCTGCAGAACCCCACCAGTGACCAGCTATCAGCCTGATGTGATGACTATTTGCTATTTAGTCCTATTTGCTATAACCTTTTGTTACAGCCCTACCAATCAGTCAGTGTTCAGTCAATGCATGGGGTATTTGACTAGCTGTGTGCTGGACAGTGAGTGCAATGCTGTTCCTTCACAACCTCAGAGTGACACGCTATATGGAATATTCTTGGACATCAGCAACTTTGTAGTATATGTTCAAAGTACAATTATGGCAAACATTTATCCACCCCACAAAATAAAAAACAACTAACTCAATTATCAGTCATCTGATATTTTTATATTACTATATTAGTGAATAGAGTCCAGAGTCTGGAAGTCATGGGAGTGTGTGCTGCCAACAAAAACACATTTTGCAAAATGTTTCCACAGTGATCAAATATTTCTCTGGTGGTGACATCCTTTGTAGCATAAAAAGAAATTATATTCTTGGGAGACTGAGATGCTGAACACTCATTCAGCAATGCGTTGACATTGATACCTGTGACCAATGCTCCCTTCTCTTGCCCAGGTTATCCACTGCATGTGCTGAAATTACTAATCACTAATCACTAGGGAAGTGGACAAGAACTTCCTGCCATGGCAGTTGTAGTCACACCCAATGAAAGGCACAAGATAACCCAAGATTTTTCTTATGAACCTGTATATTGCACAGCTGTACACAGTAACACCATACATCTAGTGACCTGTGCACTGCGTCAGATGACAACTATTTTACAACTGCCTTGGGTGTTTCACTGCTCTCTCGCTAGTAACAGTTATCTCTGTATCTGTCAGAAAAAACAGCTCAGCTCCCATTTCTCACTTTCCCATTAACTCTACCTGCCACATTTTGGCCTAGTTAGCACCTGGAAGCCCAGCATCCATGCACAAGGTGGAAGACCTAGTCTAATTCTGTCTCAGCTTTTTTTACCATCTACACATTGTTTCTAAGCAGTGTTATACTATTTCTCATCAAAATGTAATGGTTTTGTTCCAAGACATGCAAGTAAGCAGATTAATGGAGCTCTGTATTATTTCAACACAATTTTCTGTAGGTCACATGTGAATACTTCCCTGTTTCTATGCACACAGAAATCGTAAGTTATAACCCAGACTCCAGCACTAAAAGGGTTGAAAATGTTAGATCTAGTTAAGATTTAGCTTCTGACTTCAGTGGAGACAGAACACCCCAGTAAAAGCTTCACCTACAAATTGCAAAGAAGATCAGAAGTACGAGCTAACTCTCCACGTGTGGCGTCCAGCTACAATCCACAAGTGATAGCTTACTTTTCTTTTTCCAGTCTTACCTGGTTCAGCATGCTTATAAACAAGACAGACTTTCCCATTCCCATTGCATGGGTCTAATTCAAAGATAAGACTACGAGAATCAAAGTGTGGCTTCTCTGGTTTGTCTCCATTACCTGAAACCACGGAAAAAAATTATGAAATATGTTTGGAATACTGACTGTCACTCAGTTGCAACGAGTCAATCTGTTTTATACATTAATAAATCAGCTGACAAAGAACTGAATCAAACTATTGTATTTATACTTCTTGGAAATGATTAAGTTCCCTATGTTTAAAATAAAACCAAGCAAAAAAAAGAAGAAGTGAGAAAAATTTTCATCTCTGTTAGGAAAACAAACCACAGACTCAAAATCAGATGAGGTGACTTCTAGTTCCTCCCTGGCATTAAGCAAGACAAGGTTTACAGAAGTCACTCTTGAGGTTTGTCTAATCTTTTTCTAAAGTTCTCCAGTGTTAGAGAAGGCTCAGCCTCTAGGCACTCAACCCAAATACATCACTTATCACTTAGTTTTCCTCATGGATCCTGAATCTTCCCTGCGACAATTGATGCCCATTATTTCTGTTGTATATATGATTCCTTCTTTTGTCTTGATTTATTTTTGTCTAAGGAGGACAGGGAGAACAATTTATTCTTTTTCTCTTGGGACAAGACTTTAATGAAACTGCAGAGATATACATTTCTCCATTCATTCCAGTGTGACATCAGCATCCTTCTCAACAACCAGATCTGACTCTTATTCAACTTGTGACCCTCAGCCATCACTGAGCATTTCTACAATACGATTTTGAGACTGCATAGCTGCAAATACCTGCAAAATGCAATTTTGAAACCTAAACCTGATGGGGAAGAAGTGGGACATAAAACCTGTACTCTTCAGAGGAATTTTCCATGAAAGTCAACTTCTGTGGGGATGTAATTTTTTCTCATTGTACCTTATAAATGCATCAATGAAGGTTTAAGCCACTAAATAGAAGCAGAATTTGGTGCATTTCATTACAATGGCTAGAAGATCAGGACTGCAGCCAAACTGAAATGTCCAAAAATACCTTCAGCCACATTTAGAAGCTAGAAGAGCTTATAGAGATGCAGAGACAAGACTGAAATCAAATAGCATTCTTTGAAGAAATTGGTGTGACACCTGGCTGTGTTCTTATCCTCTTGATTTTTCCAGCTGGACTGTGAGAGCTCTGACAAAATGAGTGGGTTTTCTTTTTCTTTTTTATTCTCTCCAAGTAGCAGCATTCAGCATTTTTAGGCATCCTGGAACATGTGTTCCAGGGTAACCTTATAGTTGTATGTACGTACCAGTTACTTTTCCAAATCCAGCTGTCTTTTCACTACCAAAACAAAACCTATCTTTTCTAACACCATAAGCACACAAAAACTTTGGAAGCTGGAGCAAGGCTCAGGTGGAAATTTAAACAGGGAAAAGGCAGAACAGGCTGTTAAAAGAGAATGAAAATAACACTAATCCCTGTAACATTCACAGCATACAGATCTACCTGCCAAGACTGTAGGGAACTAATAAGATACATAATAGATCCAGCCCAGGAGACAGAGAGTCATAGAATCACAAAATGGTTTGGGTTAGAAATGGACCTTGAAGATCATCTTGTTCCAACTGCCCTGACATGGACAGGGACACCCTTCTCTAGACCAGGTTGCTAGACCAAGTAATCCCCATCTACCTTTTCTGTTGCTGTGAATGGAAGAGACATTAAAGGTCATTTTGTTCCAATTCTTCTGCCATGAGGAATAGCTGAGGTGCTAAGACAATTGGATTTGTTCAGCCTGGAAAAGAGAAGGCTTCAGGGTGACCTAATTGAGGCCTTGCAGTACTTGGACGGGAGCCTACAAGAAAGATGGAGAGGGAGTTTTTACAAGGATATGTAGTGACAGGACAAGGGGGAGTGGCTTCACACTGACAGAAGGCAGATTTACATCAGATATTAGGAAAAAATTCTTTACTATGAGAGTGATGAGGCACTGGCACTGGCTGCTTAGAGATACTGTGGATGTCCCAAGTATGGAAATATTTAAGGCTATGCCGGATGAATCTCTGAACAACCTGGTCTGGTGGAAAGTGTTTTGGTCCACATATCTTGTGCTATATCCTAACAGTAATAGAACAAAAGAGATGAGACAGAGCAGGTTTTCTAGCCTGTTAACAGTGCCTTACCTTCCTCATCTGTGTCATCTTCCAGGTCAGCAAGAGTTGGAGCACTAGGCAGAGTGTACACAGAGGAACCCCCAAGCCGACACAGCTTTGAGACACTGTTAATCACCATGGAGCCCAGGGGCATTGGGGTATCTGCAACAACACTGATCATTAACCACATCCAGTGTCAGGAGAGAATGGGAAAGAATTTATTTTCCTCCACCCATCAGCCTCTGTGGGATGAAGCGATATATGCTTATACCCAGCAGACCTGGACATTTAACCTAAGTAAGACTCTGAAAGAGCGAAAGTGAGGCTTTTTCAAACACAGACTGCCACTTACGTGTGATGCAACACATTCTCAGAGCTGTAAAGGTATGAGAATTACTCTGCTGGCATGGACTGTGCTGCAGTTGTTAGCTCAGTCCTGTGAAAAATTAAAATTCCTGGCTACAGGATTTCAGCTACAGCCTCTTCCTCAAAGCTCTTTTCTCTGCTGCAGCCCTTCCTATCATAAACCACTCCACAGACTCATAGCTTACTGGGCAGCTTGTCCTCTTCCACTCCATGTACCTGTTCATGGTACATCCTCTTGGCTCCTACTGCCACAGAGGATTTTATCAGTGCACCCAGTACAGTGGGTGCTCCTGAAAGAATCCTACAGGACTTGTCACTTGTCTGTGTTTCTGAGAGGTTAGACTGTTACCAGACATCAAGGCAGCAAGCACCCCGTTCAGCAACATGCCAGTGTGATGGGTGTCCGAAGGTGCTGCTGGATGTTTGCTCAAACAAGATAGTTGTACCAGCAGCCATGGCCTCTGTGCACTTGTGAGCCCTGAAAACAGACTCTTCAGAGGTCATAACACAGCAAGCCCCACTTGAAACATGATGGGAGTCACTGCAGGTGCTAAAGCACTGATGTCAACTATCTCTATAATGTCACTTCATTTCCTGAGGAAGACCCTGCATGTGACACCCATCTCCAGAAGTGAGCAGTGTCCACAGCCTGAAGGCAATGGGAGCCAGGATAACAGCTGCAGAGTGAACGAACTACCTGATTTTTGCTGAACAAGGATGGAAAATGAAGCCTGAACTTTAGCTGGTGGAAAGCGGAATCAGGCTCTAACATGTACATACACATTTTAATGAGAAAGAAGTATTATCAAAGGGTGACTCTTACTACTAATTTATGATGGAATCATGAGCTACAGCTGTTTCTCTCTCCATAAACTACAGAGTGAGTTAAGGTATGAGTTTTAAATTACACACTAAATCCGAGTGTCAACAGATGGCTGGTGTATTACAGAACAGTATTTATGTCAAGAATAATTAGTTTCCTGCCAGTGTTCAGTGTATGTACCTCTTCTGTGGGAGGTCAGAACATGCAAGCAGTAGGTTTTGCCCTGAGAGATGTCTACTGATTGTGCAGAAAGTTAGTTTGAAATTAAAGAGGTTCTGCAAAGGAAGGACTGGCTGCAATGAATTGAGATTGTCAGTGGAGGGGAACACAGGGACTCACCATCAGTCTTCACACTCCAGGTCATCTGGAAGCCATCAGTCATCAGATAGAAGTTCTTTAAGTCCTCAGGTAATACACAGGAGTTTTTCTGCAAATTACAATCAAAGTGGAATGGGAAAATGCAGAACATGCCTCAAACCCTAAGAACAACTGAAAATTGGTACAGAAATATTTGCCACCAAGTTTTTTGCTTAACTCCAAGGTGACTCAGATCAGTTCAAATATCTCATTCTAAAGCCTTGAGAGAAAACTGCATATTTCTTGGGACTCTGCTAGTCTAAACAAAGGTAGCTTGGGAAAATTTCACAATGAGTAGTTAGTCATCACAAAATTATTACAGCATTGTTCCCAAACTGAGACATCGTACTACCTTTTGCGATTAGCAGCCACTTCAAACTCACATAAATCAGAACAATCGGGTTTTTCATACATATGGCTTAAAAGAGCAGGGTTTTGCTTTAAGTGAAATCAGACTAAACTTACCTGTTCCACTAAAGCATGTACAATATTAGCACCATGACTCCCTTCTTCCGAGGGATTTCAGCTCCAAGTAGGTGAAAGAAGCATATACTCAAAAGCTGCACATACTCAAGTAAATTTGATGTTTCACTTAACAAAAAGTATGTGTGCAAACACATGCAAAGCCAGACTCACAAACCTGCTGGTCTGGCTTCATCCCTCTAAACTTCATTGCATGGCTGGGGCTCCTAAGTCTGCTTCCTTCTGAGCCACCAGTGAAAAAAGTAATCCCAGTGAGCTCAAGTTTCTAGAAAACAGAACACTTCTCTTATACCTTGGTTGTGGAAGGAGTCTTTCTTAACTTAGACTCTTCAGTTAAGCTGCAAATACAAGGAAGGAACAAAAAAAAGCCCGAAGAGCTACAGGCATCTGTAGACCCTGCTCCTGCAGACAGGACTGGCTGCAGACCAGTGACCCTCTGTACTTGCTGAAGGGTCAAGTATATAAAATTAAACAGGATGGAAGCCTTACAGTTTTAATAACACAAGCAACAAGCATGACTAAAGGAGTTGGTCTGTTTGTAACTGTTTTAGAGAAAAAACCAGATTGACTCCAGTGAGTTCAAATTTACAATAGCCACACTCTGATTCCAAAAGAATCAGACCACAAAACTTAGAAGAGTGTTCTATGATGGAGGTTCCACAATCTGTGCACGTTGACTTGTTCAAGGGCTGCACGACTCTCCTTGTGGAAAAGTTCCATTAAATAAAGACAGAATATTCTAGCAACCAGGAGCTAAGGAAAAGGACGATGTACATGCAGTTCAAGTACTTCTGCTTCACTTGGGGCATGAATTTTTAACATCTCAAGAGAAGAGAAATGTATCTATCCAGCAAGAGCAACCTGCCAGCTGTGCATCCAGCTGCAGTGCTGCCTCTAGACATCAGCTGCTGGCTCAGCAAGGGAAGGTGCTGGTCTCATTCTGTCCATATGTCCTCCCTCCCCTAGGACCAGAACAGCCTTTCTGCCTGTTAAAACCTTATTCACAGATACTTTCTTTGGGTTGTTACAGTTTCTGTCTCCTAAACTGGGGAGTACACACTATGTAGGACCCCCTAATCTGCCCTCAACCTTGTGCTTGTTAACTCACTTTTAAAGCACATCTATTAATGCTGATTGACTGCTACTGATGAGTCTCAGACACTAATAGCTTTGCAGCTTGCAATAGGGGAGGTCACTTGCCTCATCAAGCAGCCTGGTCACTAGCTCAGAGCTTTCCTAATCCAGATAGAGAAAATCCTTAGGGTCCACAGGTCTTAAAGCAGATAACCTGACACTGCAGAGGCTGTTTTGAGAAGAATGTGCCATCCTGTGACAAGAGTCTGCTGATGGCTGAGGACCTGGTGGTAAGTTTAAGGCAATTAGTAAACCACACGGACATATCTGAAGTTCTTCAAATGCCTTTAACAAACACACCTTCTTCTGCGGTTCTCCTCAGTCCTAAATATTTACAATTTCATGCTGTGCTTTCATCACTTCCAATTTCAAGCTGTACCTGTAAGCACAGTGACTATGGCTAAAACTATGAAGAAAGAATTACAAACCTGCTACAAAGCCTCAGGAGACTACAAAAGTTTACATAACACTTTGCATAAGACTTTTTCAAATCCCCCAATTCGATCTAATTCATTGCAGCAGTAAAAACACGTATGTGAATGGGTCTCCTGGCTTCAGCAGGTATTCTTCTCTGAGCAGGAGAACCAGATCCAAAGGGATGACAAAATCTAAGACTTTAAAACTTCGACTGTAGTATCCAGATAAATCTTGTTGCAACTCAGGCACACTCCAATTTAGTAAATACAGTTGACTAAGACAAGAGAAAAATCACATCTGAATAGGTTTTCTGCTCTGAATCTTCCTTTTGGAAAAGATCAAGATGTGCATGTTTCTCCAGATGGCTGCTCTCTGAATTTATTTCAGGATTCTCTAAACCATGTCCCTGTGCATGAGTTTCCAAATGATGGTGCAAAATATATGGGTAGAAAATGCAGTACCAGAGCAGGTCTGTGTTCTACAGGAAAAGGCCTGTAAATAGAAAGCTTCATTAACACCCACTTCTCTCATCTGATGGAAAGGATTGATTGTTCAGTCATATTCTGCTTATTCACACGACCATATGACATCAGAACAGTAATCTTCTGACAGCAGTCAGAGAAACAAGCCACTATATATTAAAAATGACTTATCAAAGTCTGTATTCCTCTTGCTCAACTGGCAGTTCTCAAAGTTGTATTCTCCAGCTCTATAAAATACTACTAAATGACATTTAGCCCCACTGTTCCTAAATAACATGTCAGAATTGGCTTAACCACAGCCCTGGCAAGCAGCTGTTTTCATTCCGGTTATCTGGTTACACTCATCAGCTCATAAAACAAAATATCCCAAGTGCTTAATATGGTGCGTGGGGTCTATTCCTTTTGTTTGTTACCTGTATCTCCAACAGAGATCTATTTCCAAATAGCTTCCTAAGAAAACACAGTCCATTGAGTAAAGAGAAAAATACTAGAATCTGATTTCTGCTGCCAGGACCTGCTTAGAACTGGATCCAAAGCTAAGAACCCTGACATAAGGCAATTCACTTGAGACACTGTTGAAACAATGCCTCTCAAGCAAATATTAAAAAAAATATAAACAAACCAAAAGCAATCAAAACATATAGCCTTTGAAAGACTTCTCTAAAAGCATCAGTGAGTTTTATCCAGCTTCTGGGGAGAGAAGGAAGGCATTCATGTCACTTCTCAGGGTTTCCAAGTATCAGACCACATCAGCAGCCACTTTTCTCTCTCCCTCATGTCCTTCCTGTTTCCGGACTGGTTTGTCCTAGCTGCCAGTGAATGCTGATAATTTCTGTAACATCTTGTTGCACCTTTAATAAATCTGACCTTGGGGCCTCCCAGGAGATCATCTGGATTTTCTGGAGCTGGAGTAGATTTGATCCCCTGCCACAGAGGACAGGATTTAAAAATTCTCTTGACGATATTGTAGTGCAGCCAGTTTTTCAATATGTTATAAAGCTTAACAAGAGGGGGAATGGTGTGTAAGAAACACTATCTATCTCCCAAAAGTCCTCCAGCCTGTTCCCCATTATGTAGGTTGAAGAAACATAGCTTTCCTCATGTGCTGGCCCTGCTGGATCTACTTCCCCACCTCTTCCACAGTCACAACCATAAGGCAAGCTCAGGGTGGGTAGATCCTGTGCTCACAGGGATGGCAGGCTTGGCTAATGTTAAGGGAGGACAAGGACGCCAAAAATGACTGCTGAAGATGCACACCCTGTGTGCATATTTGTAGTCAAAAAGAGATGTGGTAGAAACAAGGAGGATGACATTCCAGATGTGCTCTGGAAACACTACACAGCAGAGAGGAAACAACTCAGGAGGCTCCTGCATCGTTTGTAAGGCTTCGAATGAGGAACCAGGAAACTTCAGGCCTGTCAGCCTGACCTTGGTGCTGGGGAAGCTCATGGAGATCATGAGTGCGCATCACATGGCACATAAAGAGATCCAGGGGATCAGGCCCTGCCAGCATGGACTTGTGAAAGGCCAGTGTCCTTCTATAACACCCCTTTTAGTGGGTGAGGGAAAGTCTGGGGATGCATCTGCCCAGACTTCAGTAAAGCCTTTGACACCATTCCCACAACATTTTCGCAGAGAAATTGGCTGCTCCTGGCTTAGATGGGTGCACTGTTTGCTGGAAAAAATACCACTACCCAAAGAGTGCCGGTGGAATTACTTGCAGCAGGCAGCTGGTCACTAGTGGTGTTCCCCAGGGGCTAGCCCTGTTACTTGTATTGATGATCTCAGTGAGGAAATCAAGAGCTCCTTTAGTCACTTTGAGGACAGCACCGAGTTGGGTGGGAGTGTGGATGTGCTGGAGGGCAGGGAGGCTCTGCAGAGGGATCTGCTCAGGCTGGATCCATGGGCTGAGCCCAATGGTGTGAGGTTCAACAAGGCCAAGTGCCAGGTCCTGCCATTGAGTCACAGCAACCCCCTGCAGCTCCGGCTGGGACAGGGTGGCTGGAAAGCTGCTGAGAGGGAAAGGAGCTGGAGGTGCTGGTTTTCAGTGGCTGGGCATGAGCTGGAGTGTGCCCAGGTGGCCAAGAAGGCCAATGGCACCGGGCTTGTGTCAGCAGTACTGTGGCCAGCAGGAGCAGGACAGTGCCCATCCCCCTGTGCTGGGGGCACTGGTGAGGCCACACCTGGAATCTTGTGTTCAGCTTTGTTTCCTCACAGCAAGAAGGGCACTGGAGGTGCTGGAGAGTGTCCAGAGAAGGAAATGGAGCTGGGGAAGGGTCTGGAGCACAGGTCTGGGAGGGGTGGCTGAGGCAGCTGCAGGAATTCAGCCTGGGGAAAGGGAGCCTCAGGGGGAACCTGCTCACTCTCTACCACCCGAAAGGTACTGAAAGTCCCTGAAAGCCAGGTGTGGGTCAGGCTTTTCTCCCAAGTAACAAGTGAGAAGGACAAGACAAAATGGTCTTAGGTACCTCTGTGTCCCTCTAACAAAATGCAATTTTCTATTTTTTGAAATCCAAAACAATTATGTGAGTGACTCAGTTTTCTTCTAGTTGAGGCAAAAAGAAAATGTGATTCAGACATTGCACCAGAGTGCCTCCTAGCAGTATTTTAGTGTAACATCTATTTCTAAAAACTGCATGTGGAGGAGAGTAGGGCCACTGCCAGCCTAATTTTAGGAGTGGAAGTGGGAAAGGGTTCATAGGATGATATACAGTTATTATCACTGGTTTTCTGGTGAATAGGTAACTCTGTCTCTGCTCCCTTTTCTACTGCTTTTCTTTCTTGCTTGGAGAAAAGGTAACATCTTTTTAGGTTCAAATATTAGGGAACACTAAAAAATTATCTGGTTTTATTAAAATATATTGAACTGCTTTCAATTTTTGGGGAAGCGATGCTTTACCCATGTACACTTGGCAATTGTATACCTTAAATATTTTTCTGAGTGTGCCGATTTCCAATAAATTCTTAAGGAGTGATTTCAAGCCCGATTTCCTGAACTGTCACACTTGGTAGCTCTTTCTGCCTTGGGAAAAATCTCTTCTGTTCTCCCGCTTACTTCACTAACTCCTATCACGAAGCTCAGCTTCTCCTGCAAAGCTTCATGGCAGCCAAGGGACATTCAACAGATTTAAGATTTTAAAGGTTTTGTTTAATCTCAACAAAGTAAGAATTCAAAGCAGTATCCAGTATCCAGTTACATAGTAGCACAAACGCGGCACAACACAATTTAGAAAACATGGCTGATGGTTAAAAAAATGTATATACACAGCATGAAAAAAATAATATGTTAATTAATAATTTTTAAAACGTAGATTTTCTTTTAAGACCTTCTGAACACTTGGATTTTTTTCTCAGTAAAAAATCTTTCCTTGCAAAACTGAAATAGGACTGGAAAAACTGATTCTATTAAACAATAATCTAAGGAATAAAGCTTTTATTTGGTGAGTTTCAAAAGAGAGAGAAGTTGTTGGGGGAAAAATAATGTAACTTTGGGAAAAGTTTCACCAGTTTTTCCCTACACTACAGAAAACGTCCTGCAAATAGTTTTATAACCGAAGATGTGGAGGGAAGCTAAAAATACACTCTGACAAAATCTTGTTAAAAATCTCAGCCATGGAGAAATTATTATGTGCATAAGTATTGCCACCTAGTGGCCAAAAATCCGATAAAAACAAACGCATTCAAGAAAGGTAAGTTTCAGGAAAAACGAGGTACAAGTTAATCCTGGAACGGCTTTGTGAATTGTTGAGTGCATTGCACACTTTGTCCTGCAAGTCTGTAGACTGGGTTAGATTTACACTTCATCCCCAGAGCTCAAGGAAAAAAAAAAGGAAAAAAAATCCAGTTACCTTTCAATTTGAGAAGGGAGCTTTAATTTGTCAATGCAACTGGAACTAAAACCAAAGAAATAGACAGCCATATCCTTCACTATTAGAAGTACAAATCAACTGTACTTATTTAATTGTCAATATTTACTTCTGCAATTGACTTAGTCCATTGCTGGTTTGTGGGGGAGGGCGGGAACTGAAATTTTGTTTACGCTTCTCTAGAAGCTGAAGTGCTTCAGCTACAGCATTTGTTTGGCTTTACAAGAATAGTTCAGTTTTGAAATAAACCCATTTTAGTTTAGAGCAGAAGCAGCACCTGAAATGAGATGAATGAGCACTGTGTCCAGGAGAAGCAGTCCTCTCCATTCAACAGAAGAATGAGCAAATATCATTGTGTGTTCCCAGACCTGAGCTGGCCTACAGTCATGGTGCCTCAAACTTTCCAGCTCAGTTAACTTGACACCTGAACAACAGCTACAGGAAACCAAGAATCAGTTTACACAAACCTGAAAAACAGGACATTTCTCCCTGACCACAATTGCTGAGTTCTGGACAAGTTTCAGTAGGTAACACACAGGTTTACACCACATACATTCTGACCTGGAATATATATATATATAATATATACTCTCGGTAAATGTCACTAATTGGAATAGGCCATTACCAAAACTAGTGTAAGACTTTTCCTCACTGTTTAGGAAAAACAGTAAATGGCAAGGTGTCAGAGGGGAAGGTATTTTATGCAGTGGTAACTAGAGCAGTCTCTGGGAGCAGTTGCTTGAGGCCACAGCCAGGGTTAGAGCAGAGGGAGGATGATTCACTCAACTCCATCCTCTGCCATATCCCCTTCAAAGGCCAGAGAGCTTCTACTGTCCCATCCCTACACAAGCAATACCTACTAAGCAGTTATCCCACCATGGCCACGGGATTATTGAAGACATGTATATTCCAAAAGGTGAATGAAAATGCCATCTCTGCCCGTGAGAATCACACAAGAGTTTTCAGGAGCCCTCTGATCACAGACTGATGCAGTAAGGTCAGATAATGCAGAGTGAAGACAGCACGTGTCCTTCACAGTCTTCTAGAACAGGCAATGGGACAAGCTCTGGCCAAAAGATTGGGTTAGGTAGCCAAAGAGGAGGTAAAAGAAAGGGATATGAGAAATTGAAGTGAATGGCTGAGACTAAAAAGAGAAACAGATAACTGGAACAAACTGGGTAGCTCAGTGTTATCTGCCAGTTTGAGATCTTTACCTTTAATGGCCATGGATATTCAAGCACTGCTTCATTTTGTTGAAAGGGAGTTGGAAAATGTTTTCAGACCTGAGTCAGAAAAATGTTTGCTCCCCACTGAGTCACCACTGTAGCTGCCTACTACAGTTACATGGTTTCCTTTTAGAGCTGTCATGCTGAATGTACCCACATTGATGATGTTTCTCTAACAGATAAGGTGCATGTGACAGTCTAGAAGAGTGATAACTGATTAAGAAAAACCCAACGACACCTGTTTAGGCTGCATTGTACATCAAGCTTGGTAACAAGCTGTCTCATAAACACAAGGTTGCCATTGCATTTGACATTCTCCACGGGCTGCTGCACATTCAAACTGACCTCACGGCAGTTTTCTCAGGAAAACACTCACTTGCTCCCAAGAGACGATTGTGTGGCGTTCAGCTGGCTCCTTTTCCACAAAAGTCACTTCAGCAACTCCTGGGGAAGTCTCTGAAAGGAAAAGAAGAGCATGTTTCAGCTGGCATGGGTGATGCCAATTCTGTGAAACAGACAATTTTGCAAATTAATTTGAGTGACAGCCAGGGAAAAGGCATTAATGATTGCAAGCATTGTGCTGGTGACTGAGCAGTCACTTTCTTTTGTCTGTAACTATACTCTGCATGTCTTGGCATGAGGATGTCTAGTGCTGCACAAAATGTTATCCTTTGATTTTTTTGTACATATATATGCATATATCTAATATATCTACACATACACTGATTTAGTGGGTGGCATTCCTGCCCAGGGTGGGAGGGGTTGGAAAAAGATGATCTTTAAGGGGCCTTCCATGATCCTATGATACAAGCACATACCATTTATCTTCAAGGTGTGATCTTTTGCAGAGATTTCATGAAAAAAAGTCAGTGATGGGTTTTGAGGCAAACTCTTAGAGGGAGATGAATCTTTATTTGTAAGCATTCCCTATGGTTTCTGTTGGGTAGGATATCCTCAGATGGGGACAAGATGCAGTGCAGTGCTGCTATGAACTGCTAACAAGCCTATTCCACAAGGACAGGCACACTTCAGCTCTGGATTCAGTGGGTTTGAAAAGACACAGAACCTGATCCTGCTGAAGGGATCTGCACGAGGAAATATCGATTGTCTGGAACCTCAGCTGGACACATGAAAATTTGTTACAAGCCTTGAACTTGTATCAATCTATAAAAATCTTCTGACTATTTTACGGGAAAGAATGCTATATAAATGTAAGATACTAATCCACATGGTGCTTTCAGGTGTGTGATGGCAGAACAGACTCCCTTACACTTATTATTTTATAATGTTTTACTTCATCCACAGCCAACTGAAATAATTCCCACTGAGATAATTCTCTTTGGATCAAGTCCAGAAAGACTACTAACTTTTTGTGGGAACTGCAAGCCCAGCAGACAGGGCCAGGGAATAGAAGTGATAACTATGCAGGGCTTTCAAGACTGGCTCTGCTGTGAAAGTATTGGCCCCTAAAGCAGTCACACACATTACAATTGCTTTTTGGTAAAACATACACAGTGCACCAGACAGGAAAAGCAGGCACTAGAGAGCTTTGGTTTGTTTTTTATCTTCAATGGCAGGCTTTTAATTCTATCAGTAGCATTGTCCTTGTCTGTTCTATTGGTGGGGGAGTGGCTCTCAGTTTCAGGAAGCCTGAACTTCACTTCAGTTGGAAATATTGATTGGTACATTGTTAGATAATTGGAAAGATAAAACACAGCATCAGAAAAACAAACTCCAAGTTAAAGACATAAAAAAAAAATCATAGTTGGTCACATAGGTAAATTTGTCTGGTCAAGGGGCACCCTCAACATACAGAAGACTGATATTGCAGCAAGTTTCACTTCTGGTAGGTGGGTCCAAGGCAGAGCGACCTGTCTCTTGCTCAAATTTAAGCTGTCTGAACAAGAGAGTGGAATCAATTACATGCCTGGTCTTTTCCATCTAAGCTATGCAAACCTTATGACAAGTTGGGGAGATTATAATAACAGAGTAATTGTTATTTCTGTGATCAAAGAAAATAGCAGAGATGTTTAATTCATCATGCACAACATCTTGGCTGGGATGGCAGAAGATTAAATATCGTATCAGTCAAAGAAGATGTCTAGGAACGAGTGAATGCAACTTCTGAAGAGGTCTGAACCAAATCCAAGATCAAAAGAAAGAGAAATCTCATCTTAAGAGCCCAAATATTACATTAAAAATATACTGTGGGTAAACTGAAGACCTTGTTTAACAGATGTGCATAGGTATGGACAGGAGCTCCATTAAACATTTAGGATTAACTTTGCCATGTGTTGCTTTTCCTTCCAGATGTAAGAAATGAAGAAGTCACTTTAATGGCACCTAGATACATGATAAAGCTTAACTTCTTCAGACTCCACCCTATAAATTAATATGAATCAAGATCATAGTAAACTCTGCCCTAGTTTTAGGACATTTAATCTGGAAGCTTCCAAAAATGCTTAGCAGTATTAATCGAAACAGTCAATGTAATGGTGTGACACAAAGCTGAGGCAGGAAATCACAGGATTTTCAGTCTTTACAGTACTGCTAATACTGCCTGTAAGTTGGCTAAATTCTGAGCATAATTTAAAAATGTTTAAATAACTACATTCTTACCTAATAGAGTGCTAACAGTGAAGCATGGTTCTGTCCTGGGCAGTCTAGAAGAGCTAACACCTTCCATTCTGACTTAATTATGAATAATAAATCTTTCTGGAATTTTCTATTAGTCACGGAACTTCAGCAAAATGAGTCATACTGGCAATGGGAAAGATCTCTCTCTCCCTTTTTCCCCTCAAGGTATAGCCTCCACAATGCTTGTGAGAAATATCCCTTCTTGTAGGGACTTCCATAGAGACTACTGTTAAAAAAAAACAAAACCCAAACCAACAAAACAAGGCCTGATTGTACTTTACATTAAGCAGAAAATATCAAGTGACTTCCTGAGACTTTCCAAAAGATCTAAAGTAAGATAGTTTCTAGTAGTATTAAATACTGAGCCAGGTGTTGTTCTGAATGAGATGCCCTTTGTTATTTGAAAGAAACATGCACTGAACAGACTGGTAATGTTTCCCAATTACCTAAGCAATTCTAATTAATTCGGTGGCGCAGTTGAAATGCCTTGGACTACTTGGAAAAAATGTGCCAAATTCCCAGAAGGTGTGGAGAGACAGAGAAAAGAATTGGAGTAAAACATCACTGTGACGGACATTGCTGCACTGCACAATACAAATTGTCAGAGACATAGAGAGGAAAACATGAAAATACAAACCAGGAAACACCTTCCACGTTTAAGGTATGTTACAGGACTTTCAGAGCCATACCTGCATTGCCATGTCGTGCTGGTGTAGACAACATACCGACCCAAAAGAGTTTATATGGCAACATGACATTTGGACACAGTTCACATCTCACAGCTCTCACACACCTGAAGGTGGTGAAAATGTGGGCAGGGCTAGTAATTTTTAAAAAGAGCTACTTCAAAGAAGCCTTTGCTATGATGATCATCATCAGTTTCACTCACAGAGTAGAGATAATCCTGACCTCTCAACAAACAAAACAAACAACCAAACAGAAAAAAGTCCACCCAACCCCCCTCTCAAGAAGTTCAATAGAAGTCAGTATGACAACACTGATCAGAGATTGAGGGTGAAATCCTGTCCTCACTGAAGCTCAAAGAAAGAATTTAACCCTGATCTTTTAATCTCATCTGTCTGAGCAGCTATCCAAACCCATTAGCAACTATAGATACACTGAGGTTACTAGGTGAAACTCACTGTCCTGCAATGGGGTGAGATAATTACAGAGTTCACTTTTGGCTCTAAAATTCCCAGGAAGTAATTCCAAGACTGTTACTTGTAATCTTGTTGCACACATGGTTTGAGATAGATGTATAGATTTCCAGCCTCACAAATAAGACAGTCCTGTGCTCTGTGCTGCTGAGGTATGAAAGGTCTAATGCTGAAATCCTTTGCACACACAAATACTTGCACAAATCCTTGTGATTCTGCTGATATGAGTAAAATTTTGTCTGAGAATCCTTCCTTTGGATGCCTTGCAGTCCTGCTGAACTTCAAAGGGAGCTGAGGAGATGAAAGGCAAAAAGGCTCAAGATCTGAGCAAAACCTGGAAATTGCAAGCAGGGAATTTCGTAGAACAAGTCTCACAATGTGGGAATGAGCTGCAGGGCAACTATTTATGGGGATCTGATCCTGAGCAGACTTACAAGTCAGCCTTCTACCAGAACACTGCACTGTGCGGAACTCTCCTTCATGGGGCACATTTCCTGCTGACCCCACGCTACCACAGAAGATCAAATTTAGTTACGATTTACACAGGAAGGTAGTGTGTAGACCTCATAGGAACATTGCAATATCTAGAGGGGGCCTACAGGGACGCAGGAGAGGAACTCCATTATGAACTGTAGTGACAGAACAGAGAGCAATGGATAAAAATTGAAGGAGGGGAAATTTGGGTTGGGTATTAGGCAGAAAATCTTTACTTTGAGGGTGGTGAGACCCTGCCAGCTTTGCCCAGAGAAGCTGGGGATGTCCATCCCTGGCAGTGTTCAAGGCCAGGATGTATAAGGCCTTGAGCAACCTGGGATAGTGGAAGCAGTCCCTGCCCATCGCATCAGGGTTGGGACGGGATGACCTTTGCGGCCTCTTCCCACCTTTTAACATTCAATGATTCCATGATTTTTCATAAAACAACACCTTCTCCTTCTCTGATGTTTATGAAACTCGTCAAGTCGAGAGATTTGGGATTCCTTGCGCTGCTTCCAGAAACAAGGATGTGTGTCTGTGTGTGCACAGGCTGTTCAGCTGCGCGATTCACAAGAGGGGCCGTGACAACCGGGTGGCTCCCCCCGACCCCGGCCTGCCCCCGCCCCATGGGGCTGCAGTTCTACGCCACTCACCCAATATCCTTGTGACGCCCAAGGTGAGCTTGTCCAGGTAGGGCTTGATACCGGTGGGGACTTTTTCCTCCATCCTACACGGGACCCTCCTGTCTCTGCCCAGCCCGACAGAGAACAAAGCCTTTCTGTCCTCCCTACTGCCCCGTAGCCGCAGGGCTCGCTGGGAATAATAGTTCTTCCGGGCCGTGCCCCAGCCGGCCCATGGCGGCAGCCAGCGCTCTGAGGACCACAATTCCCGGCATGCCCCGCAAAACTACGCGTGCCTCCGGCGCAGACAACCAATGGGCGGCGAGAGTCGGAGGGGCGGTGGGGGTATGCGGGGAGTGGCGGCTGTTTCAAGATGGCGGCGGCGGCCGCCGGTGTGGGCGGAGGTGCTCGCTGGAGCCGGGGCTGTATCCTTGCCTGGGACTCGGTGTGACGGGACAGCGGCGGAAGAGGCAGCCTGGGGCGTGTGGGGCGGCCTGTCGGGGGCTTTGGCGTGGAACCGATGCGGCGCTGTGGGTCGAGTGGGCTTCTGTGGCCGTGGCAGAAGCTATGTGGGGACTCCGCTGGCGAATGTGGGGAGGGCTTGGCCTTGGGAGAGGGATTGAGTGTGTGCTTATTTGTAGGGGGTACGTGGGATTTCAGAGGAAAAGTGATATGGGAGAGAAGGAGTGGTAGTAAGTTCTCTTCAGTGTGACCCAGCTGTGAAGTCCCGGGGCGAGTAAATATATAGGAAGTGGGGAAATTGCGTTGAGTTTATGGGAACTTGTAAGGGAATCAACAGAGAGAATGAAATTGTACAGCCTGGAGAAAACGAGGCTGAGGAGTGACTCTATCGCACTCTACAACTGCCTGGCAGGAGGTTGGTTGTAGCCCGGTGGCAGTCGGGCTCTTCTCCCAGGTGGCAAATGACAGGACAAGAGGACACAGTCTTAAGCTGCTCCGGGGGAGGTTTAGGTTGGACATTAGAAAGCATTTGTTCACACAAAGGGTGACTGGGCATTGGAATGGGCTGCCCAGGGAGGTGGTGGAGTCACTGTCCTGGGAGGTGTTTAAGGAAAGACTGGACCTGGCACTCAGTAGTGTCCAGTCATAGGCAGGATTCGATTAGCTCCGAGGTCTTTTCCAACCTCATTCATTCTGTGATTCTTTAAAACTGAGGCTAGAAGCTGAGCAGGGAGGTGATGTGCCTTTTGTGAGTGGCACCTGAGCTTGACTATAAGCACAACATTTTGGGTCAGCCCATGTGGGACTTGCAGGGCTCTGTTTGTGAGGGATGAGAGTGAGGCTGGGGTGGTTCCACCTGCAGAGGACCTGCAGGCTCCTGTTGTGGGAGACTACGTGAGGCTGGACAGGTAGATGGGTGGAGGCTGTGGAGTTGTACAAGCCTGCTTAGGGAGAGATGTGCTTGTGTGGCTCAGAGGACCAAGAGCTGCTGCTGGTGTTTGGGCTTGTGTGGCTGAGTGGAGGCTCAGCGACTTGAAGTCATTGGGGTAGAACTGACAGTCTGGCCTGGTGGGAATTTGGAAGCTCACCATTTAGTTAAGTTATGAGAAGTTTGAGGCATTGCTGTTAGTCAGACTGAGAGTGGGATTTCAGCATCGAATGGAAGTGATTGGAAAGAAGAATATGTATGTGTGTGTGTTCTTTTATTTGACTGCACATCCACTGGGACAATGTGCAAGTGAAATGGGCCAACTATCCCACGGCCTGTTTAGGGAGCACATTGTTATAATTTCCCATCTGTATAAAGTAAAAAAGATTGTCTACAACTTTTTCTGTGCTATGAATGGGATGAAGGTGTGTGGCACATACCGGATTTATTGCCACACTGTCACTACTCTGTTCAGTTGTGGAAGTGGTGATGCCATTACATTGGCGGTCTATTTTTAACAGTTAATACGTTGTTTCCCATGACTAAATACGGTTTCTTGAGCCCAGCAGTGGCCTCATGCATCATGATATTCCAATGAATGAAATTCTTTCTGACAACCATTTCCATTCTGCATTTTTTGGTGAATAGGCAGTTCTGGATCTTGGAAAAGTTGAAATTCTTATAAAAGCGCATGGCACAATTTAAAAATAATGGTAGTGTATGCTTTCAAAAAAAGAGAAGCGGGTGGAGAATTTGGTAGATTGGTTTAATACATTTGGAAAACTGAAGTTCTCTCCATCATTGTTGAATCGACTCAGCACAGGTTGTATAGGGGAGCTGTATCCAGGTATTGAGTTTCTCCAGTGCCTCTCTCTGCTGTGGCACTGAGCTTAACTGTGGTGGTACAAGGTTTATAATGCTATGCCTGCCTTACTGGCAGTCTTGGGAGGCACATGGCAGCAGATCAATGTTAAAAGGTTAATAGTGGTGCTGTCCCCAGTCTGTTACTCTGAGGCAAGGACGTTGCTTATGAATCAGTCTCTGAGTCATTGTGATTTTCAGTCCAGCTGACTGAGGTAGTCTCCTCTAACTTTGAGTTGTTTTACTGGGCTGCAAAGCTTCACCAGCAGAGTCGTCCTGGTAGGTGGGGAGAGTAATAGTGACAGCTTTGACTAGTCCTTGCATCCTGCTACTAGGAATTTATCCACAACAGCTGGCAATATCAGAGGCACACTCTAAAAGCAGGATGTTGTTTGTGCAGACCGTTTTATTTCCTATAGCCATGTGTTGACATGCAGATTAACCGTATGGCAGTTGAGCAGGAACTGCCCATGCTGAAGTTTTTTGTTTCCTGAAGCAGTGTGAGCTGAGCATACACTTCTCAGTACCCTGCAGCTTGCTGTTGGGGTTGTGCTGACACAGCTGCTTGGGCTGGGCTGTGATCCAGACTCGGACTTTCAATCCACCTTGGTGCTTTTCGAAAAGAGGGTACGCACAGTGCCTCCACAAAGCGGAGTTTGTTCCGCCTCCACAGTGTGTTCTGGCAGCTGGAGGTGGCAGGCTGCAGCTCACCAGTGAGAACAGAAATGCTCTCAGTGTTTGTAGAGAGAGCTGGCTTTGACAGCAGGACTCACTGAATGTGTGTTTAAACTGGTGTGAGGCTGGTGAGTGCTAATTGTTTACAAGTGATAAAGTGTGTCAAGGCTCGTAAGTGAGCCTGCGATCAGGCCCTTCCAGTGTGACAAGTACCAGTTTTGTGATGGACAGTGGGTGTTGACTGAAGATGCTATCCACAGGGGGAAACTCCTAGACTTTTCCTAATTTTCTCCACTGTGTGGTAATTTACTGAATTAAGTTTTTGAGATGGTACTATCAGAATCAAATTTTAGTTAAGGCAAGAGTTTGTATAAGGTCATTGAAATATTTTCACAATTTTACTTTATTGTACGAATACAGCTGCAAAACTTTAAATGCATTTATCTATTAACAGTACAGAAATTAGATAATTGACTTAATTGGTCAACCATAGAAGATTGAGGAAAGTAAAGGGGTATAAACAAAAGATAGTGGAGGAGAATTTTGTGCACACTGCTTTTGTTTTCCACCTTAGTATTGCCCTGGTCTCAGCTAGAATAGAGTTATTTTTTCCTTGTACTTGGTATGCTGTGTTTTGTATTTACCATGAGGATAATGCTGATAAGACACTGGTGTTTTGGATGTTGCTCAAGAGTGTTTACCCAAAAACATGGACTTGAGTGACCCATGCTCTGCCAGCGAGCAGATGCCGAAGAAGCTGGGAGGGATCCTGTCCAGGAGAGCTGACCCGAAGTGGCCAAAGGGAGATTCCATAAGAGAACATCATGTTCAGTACATAAACTGGGGAGTGTTGGCTGGGAACTGCCAGTTCCTGCTGGGGAAAGGGTTGGGCATTGCTTGGTGTGCAGCTACACTGTGCATCGCTGCTTTCTTTCAGATTTTAATTCTCTCTCCCTCTTCCCATTTTGTTGCAATTAGTATTATTACCCTATTGTATTTTGTTTTCTTTCAGTTATCAAGCTTTTCTTATCTCTACCCCTGAGGTTTACTGTTTCTGATTTTGCTCCCCACTTGGGGCAGGGTGGTGGACAGGGAGTGGCTGTGTGGTACTGAGTTGCTGGCTGGGATTCAGTCACAAGCATGTTATTTATGTGGGAATAACAATCTTTACATTTAGCTAAATGAAACTGCTCCTTTAAGGAAGACAGTATGATTTACACTCTTCCCTGAATTATATTAAGTCATATTTTTAGTGGCTTTTAGGAGGTAGGGATTCAAGTTCAGTGGCTGCTAACAGTCACAGTGACTGCTAACAGCACAAATAATATGATGCCCTGTTGTTTCTGATTTTAAAGTGTTTTCTATGGTCAAGTTACTTAATAGTTAAATGTCTGGGATATTTGAAAGTTCTTGAAACTTCTTAAAGAAAATCAGTCCTCAGGCTTTTATGTATTACTCACCATGTGATGATCAGATGAGAATGACCAGTTTGAAACCTTTTGCATTTATCCTCATTTGTGTTTCTTAGAATGTATTGCTCAAAATTAATTTCAGTATCAATAAACGCTGTTTCAGAATTTCCTTTCCCTACACATCAAAATGTTCCCTATATAATGATAAACAGCTTGATTTAAATAAATATTATTAGTTTGTTATCTTAGTAATTGCTCTTGTAACTGGGGCTGGTCTCTGGGATCTTTTGCAAAGGTGACCTCTCATATGATCTTTACAGGCTGAAAGTTAATGCACAGTGAAGAAGGTGTAAGGCCTTTCGTTTTAGCAATCTCTGTGGTGATGTTTTTTTTTGTCTTAACCAAGTTTTCCTTTCTTTTCTTGCTCCCAAAATGTTGATTGTTTTCTTATAAACAGCTGTGTAAAATTAAGAGACCAAATACTTCTTTTTACAGTCCTGCTTAAAGAGCCAAGCTTGCACTCCTTTTATTTCCTTTAACAAAGCCACATGCAGCTTCTGATGAAGAAGATCCATTGGTATCAGGTATGACTTTCTAATAGACGTCAGCAAAGGTTTCTTTCCAGTGGATGATAGAATTTGCAATGTCTTTTCATGTATGTGGCTTGTGTACATAAGTGTGTTTAAGGTAGAGAGACACTGTGAGTTGTAATGGGACATATATGATTATAGCAGAGGATTTATGCTCTGCTGCTTAGATAAGCATACTGTATAAGATGAATAGTTCCAGGGGAGTTGTTTCTGTTGCAGGTACAGCATGGCTTTATCCAATTTATAAGGCAGGCTGAATTTTTAATGTGGTCTCCAAGGAATTTTGAAGCATTAGAGGTGTTAGGTCTTTTGTAAATTTTGAAGATATCAATTGAAATGAAGATTCATTGTGTACAGATAAAGCAATTATTTTTTTTTATTAGTTCTTTTGACCTTGATTTACTGAGTGCATACTTTGTTCATCGCTGGGGAAAAGATGAATGTTCTTAGTTCCCCTTCAGAATTCTCTTAATTGTTTTCAAACATAGCTCTTTAAGTGACACAAAGTCCTGGAAATGTATCTGGGGATGGTTAACTCTAGATTGAAACTGTGTGTGTGTCATCCAGCAGTTATAAGTTTTGAGGAATTATACTCTTTAGATTTGGGTTTACCCCTCAAAACTACCGGCCAAATATCTCTGTTGAACAAGGAAATACATGCCAGGTGATGTTGGATTATTATTCTCTGTTTTTCTTTTCTGGAAAGAAAGCAGTGGTCCTATAAATGATGGAAATTGATTCACTCTGGGAAGTTTTCTGCCACTTCTGTGGAAGAGAATTTCAGGACCATTGTTTTCCCTTGTCTACGGGCATGGACATATTAGAGTTTATGATTTAGTTCTTTCACTTGAATTGCTGGTACACTTCTGAAATTAATTACCCAAATAAATATAATCAATCTGCTAGTATGAAGCTAATATTTTTTGTTCAAAACTTTTTTCACTTCTGAACAGTCAAAAATCAAACCTTGAGGCAGTACCAAGTAGCTATGGGCTTTAATCTGGCCCTCGGTGGTTTTAGTATTTGTGTCAGTGTTGGCACTTTGTAATTGCAGTATCAGGATTTTCAGAGCTTTCATGTTCTTACCATTTGTAATGGTGATCTAATTCTAATTATGGCAAGAAGTGTTTGACAAATGATCTGTGGAGTGTGCACTGCAGTGTTGCCTTACTCTTATGCCTGGTCCTGAAAGGAACAAACAGCCTGAGCATCAGCAAGTTGGCTGTGTAACAGAAAAAGTGGTATTTTATTATGTGAGTGGTACTTTTAACGGCTTTACTGCTGGTTGGTTCCTTACTGTCTTTGGGTATCAAAGCAGAAGCTCAGTTTTATGCTTTTGCATCTTAATCAAACACAGTTTATTTGCACTGAACTCCAGTGTGAAGAAATAATGTGCATTTCAGAATTTATGAAATGTTCATTGTGGCTGGGTGTGCTTCAGTGCCATGCACCTCTTTTTCTGCTGTTGCATTCATCTTAATGAAATGTTGTATAGAATGAGAGGCTGGGGGGAACTGCAGGCATATTTCTGAGGTGCTCATTCTTTTTTAAAAAAAGGGCTACTAAGGCAAGGTTGCCTTTGTGGAAGCCTGGTTATACAAGGCAAGAACAGGGCCCCTTTTCACTTTATAATCTCCATGTTCTGCTTGTCTTTCATTTGCAGGAGTGTCTATAAAAGGAAATTTAAGACCAAGGTGTTTGCCAAAATATCAAACTGGTCAAACTGAACTGAAGGTGCCTGTAGCTGTTGCTTGTGTTTCCATGGATCCTGATAAAGGTACAGGAGGTGTGAAAGGGCAGCAGGTCAGTAAAAGCAAATTTTTCTTGCTCTTAAGAGTGCATATAGTATAAAAAACAGCTGAAAATTCTTAGATTGAAAACTTTTCAACAGTTTTAGAGTAGTTATTTTTACAGTTTCTTACACTTTTGCCTGCTTTACATGGTGGGTTTCTAGCAGAATGTATCACATAAAGAGAGCAAAGGCTGAATGTGCTAATTTATGTAAGTGGTGTGTAAATGGGGCTGTGTAAAACAGATTATTTCTATTTCTTTGTGTGTATTTGTACAGAGACAGTACATGTAGCCCTGGGTAGTGCTTAACCTATACTTTTACTAGCTAAATGTGCAAGAAGTTTTCTTCAGTGTATTCATTTTCATTGCCCTAGTCATCTAATTTAGAAATAACACAAGTGAAAACTCATTTTAGAGACCTTTCTGCTGTGCCTGCTCATGTTAGAAGGGTAAAATTACTTTTTGTTTTTGACAGTAAAAGTTCAAAATGCATTTGAGCTTTGTCAGTTGGTGTCAGCTGCTTTGAATTTTGTGGTCTCCTCCTGTGAGACTAGGTGATGTTTTTCCTACAGTTCCTTTCATTAGAAATTCCAAAGCAGCAGGGTTTCCTTTGGAAGATTATTCTATATTGTGATAGATGCTGTGATGTTCAGAAATCTGTTGAGAGATGCCATTTTTCTAACGTGGTTTGTGTAGTACAATGACTGTGTAAGTCATTTGAGTGCTGTTGAGTACTTGCCTCGCAGTCATCCTGGGCCAGCCTGTAAATCACTGGGGCTTGGCATCCTCCCACTTGCAGGCAGGATCTAAAACCTTTGACTGCTTCTGCATTGCTTTTATTATCATGTAGTTAAATTTTGTTCTTCATCTCAGATGTCCTTCTCTGCCTTCTGTGTGCTGAGTGACTGCTGTATGCTGCACATGTAGGTTCAAAACTCTGATGTGAACACAGGTTACTCAGTTCTTATTGCTTTCACAGTGTCATTGCCCTTCGAATCCTTCAGGTGACACATGACTAGTTATTAAACTAGTAATAATTTTTAGAGCTTTCTCTGGACTTGTGTATTTCCCTTGCTCTGTTTATCAGTGCTTGCTTTTAGAGGCTGGTATGTACCTCTACTTTGCAAATGATGCTGTTAAGTGGCATGCAGATAAATTCCACAAATAGCCCCCATTATGCAGAGTCTTTATGTAGAAGTATCTACGAGCCTGCTGCCTCACAGATGCCTTCATATGTCACATTAAAATCTGTTTTGTTGAATGGTGCATTGATTGCGTTACTTGTTGTTTAGAGAGTTTTTACTCCTTTTCTTTTGAAAGCCATTGTATAAATGGGTTTTGGTGTACTCTTTTTAAATATAATGCCTGGTATGTAAAATCTTAATTGGTGACTTGTGCTTTTGTTTTATTGACAACAAGATGTGTTCAACGCTATGTTTCATTTTTGTCTTTTTAAACCTTCTGTTTTTTGCTTACCTTGCCAAATTCTAATGGAAACTTTGTACTCTGAAGATAAGCTTTGAATACTTGAAACAAACAGAACAAATGTTTTTACTTGTTATTGAAGAAGAACTTCTTTTGCATAGAATTTTCATCAACAACACAACTTGCTTTCTGCAAAGTGTTGTGTGCATGTCCAGGGAGAGCTGATGGCTTTACCATGGCATAGAGTCATAGAATGGTTTGGGTTAAATGGGGCCCTAAAGATAATCCAGTCCAACCCCCCTGCCATGGGCAGGGACACATTGCACTAGTGCTGGGTGCTCCAGGGTCTCATCCAGTCTGGCCAGGACATACTTCTGAGTGAAATGCTCTAGGCTGAAGTAGGTGAGCTGTTGTGTTCCTTTCTGTGATTCTGCATGATTTTGTCATGCAGTTGTCACCTTCCGAGGTGTAGAGAATATCTTCCCAGTACTGAGTTCCAAAACTCTTCCATCCTGAACTGTGTAGAATGGACAAAAATCTGGGGAAAGGAGACAACACAGTCTTGGCCTCTATCTCCTTTGTGGTCTTCTTTTGGTGGTTGAGCTGTTGCTGTGCATCATTCCACAACTTCATTTTGATGTGTGTTAAGTCTGCCTCTGAGAATTTCTTGTGTGTCATCTCTGCATACCTGTAGGTGATAGAAAAAAACTGATTTTCCTCTTCATCCCACAGAATTTTGTCTGACAATATGTACATTGGTATGGGTAGTAGTTTTAGAGATCTTCTGTTAAAATCTCTTTCACTAATGTGATCAAGCTACTCTTTTTTGAGAGCTGTAACTTTTCATTTTTCTTAAAGAATTTCCATTGTTTGCAAAAAAAATAATTTTAGCATGGGAAGTGAAATTCCTTCAATTCCATATGTCTGGTTGAGTTCAGCCAAGTTAGACATTCTCTCTTCATATGTTTGGGAAGAAAACCAAATGCCCCTTGAGAAGTGCTGAAATTTGCCTTGTGAAATTCCTGTCCCCCTCACCCCTGAGAAGAGTCCACTGAAATTAAAATGAAGGGTCAGGCAGGTATAACATGAATCTGTGTGAAAACATCACCTCTCTTTGTAGTGGTCTTTATTCTTTAATTGTTTTCAAGATGCTGTTTAAGAGGCAATTAGCTAAGAAGGAAAGGGGTCACTCCCTCTCTGGCGTGTGTACATCAGCTGCTGTTACTGGTGATGGGAGAAGCCCAATGGTGGCTTTGTATTCTTTTGTGCACTCAGGGCATCTGGTGGCATTCTTTATCTGATACAAAGCACTGCATGCACTTGGGGGGGTTTGTAAAGATTGAGTGGACATACTGACACTTGCTAAAATCCTGGACAGAGCAGCATGGCTCTTATGGCTGCGTCTACCTTCGGGTTCGTATTTCGTGCTTGCCACTAGCACTGCAGAACCGCATACACAGGAATTTTTGGTGAATAAAACCAGTTTGGAGCCGTTTCCTGCGCGGAGCAGCCGGAGTCGGGAATGCCGGGCAGCAGAGCGCCCTCTGGTGAGCACACGTGGCAAGTGCAGCGGTTCCCTCTGCGGCCCCAGGAGTGCCTGGAAGTGCTGCAGCCTTCTTTTGGCAAGTGTTTTGTACGAAACTAGCAAATAAGACATCAAAACCAAAACAGTAGCCACAGGTGAAGGTGTGTGTGCGCTTTTCTCTGTATTAGAAAATTGATGTAAGGGACTTACTCTTCTGCTAGCGATATTTTGGTGTTTTGTATGCTTTGGTCACAAATGCTAAGGCAGCATTTTTTTTTTTTCTTACTCCCTGTGTTATGATCCTAATATGATAAAGTTCGAGGTTGGATTTGGATATTGCTGCACTAGATTTCCAAGTCATGAGGACCTACTCCTCTTATCTAGTATGAATCAAGGAATAGTGCATGTCTTAAAACTTTACCAAGCATGTTTTAGTATTGAAGCTAGCAGCTTGCTTTTGAATTACAAATCTCTTAAAATAATTCTTCACAATTTGCTAATTTGTTTCATTGAAATGTACTTACGTTTTAAAAAGTACGAATTTTATTTCCAGTTGGAATTGATCTACTTTCAGCTTCTAATTATTAGGTCTTGAAAAGCTTTTAATAGCTTGTGAAATATTTGTTTTCTTTTAAACAGTACATTCAAAATGTAACTTTAAATTTTCAGGGCACTAATGAAGGAGGAATGAAGAGTGCTTCTTTAAAGGATTTGTGTCCTGAGGACAAGAGACGCATTGCGAACTTAATTAAAGAACTTGCCAGGTAAGAAGAAGCATCACCTGAAAATGCATTAAGTTTAAAGAGAGTCATTTCTCTAATTAACATCAAGCAATGTAGAACTGTATTAAAAACCTGAATATTTGTGCAAGGTAATTTTTCTTGCTGGAAAAGGTATGAAGCAGCCTGGTTGGTTTTTCCTTGCTTCCTGAGCCCCTAAATATATATATATTTGAAACAGGGGCCAAAATTTCATGACCAGCAGTACTTCATCTGTAATATCCTAATGACAGGGCTAGGATTTTGTTTGTTGTGTTTATCAAGTGCTATAAGTAAACACTTTCTGCTTCTGGAAATGACAGACTTTGCTGCTATGAAACTTTGTAATGCTTAATATTTGGCAGTGGTAAGCTTCTATATGGAAGGCCACGTTAAAGGTGCATTGCTGATCTTGCAGCTGAAACATGATGGTAATGATTTGGCTGTGTAATTTTTACTTACAGTGTCAAACTTCTTCTTGCTTCCCTTAAGTTCCAAAGATTTTACCTATTCCTTTGAAAGGAGAAGTAGAAATAGTGCAAGTTTTCTCAGCTTTAGCAAAAGCATTTTCTAAGTTTCATTCCAGTTACATTCTCAAAGATAAAGGAGGTAAAAAAGAGGTTGAATTAAAGTGAGATTTTTGTCCTACTCTTTGTCCCTAACACCTAAGAATCTCTGTAAATCTGTTTGTTACAAAGGGGGTGTAAAAATGAGGAGGAGGAGCACGTGGGCCTTTGGCAGGCTTTGCCATGTCAGTGGGGAAGCTCTTGTGAGATGATCCCATGTCCTTTGAGCTAAAAGTTATTGTACATACTTAGAATTTTTAAAGTTTTTCCAGGATAAAATGTAGGTTCTTTGGTAATAATTAAATACTTTTTGACATAGATCCCTTATGTCTGTGCAATAATTGGCAAGTATTACTGTCCTTTTTCATTTTATATAGGAAAATTTGGAAAATTAGAGAAATTAAGTAACTTGTTCAAGGTCATTCAATAACTCTCTGGTGCAGCTAAGAATATTTTCTCTCTGATTATCCTTATCCAGTGGACCATTTTACCTGCTAATAATTTGTACTAATACAGAATTTCTTGCCATACAGTATTTTAGTAATTTCTGAAGTTCTTCATGCTTGCAACTCTATTTTATCATGCCTTGTGTTAGAAAATGTATAGTTAAGACTGTCATAAAGAGTAGATTGGTGGGAAGCCTGGTTACAAATTGTCAGATGTTGGAGCTATTCGGACACTGTTGCCACTGTTGATATATAGAGGTATATTCTAATATTAAAAAAAGCCTTTCATTACATTGTTCCTCATAATACACTGCTCCCTAGTGAATAGTAGTACAGTAATTCATTCGAGCATGGGATTCTTCTTAAATCTCAGATGCTGTGATTTTTCCCTGAGGACAGTTTGATATTTCTGCCTGACATTTCTTTGAAGAAAAATAGAAGGTGCAGCAACATTAATTTTGAAAAGTAAAATTAGTGGAACACTATTATTTTATACTTAGTTCTCTTTTATTTTTAAACCTAATCATATTTTTATTGGATGTAATTAAAAGTCCTTTGCAGAGTAATAGGGAAGTTGAACTTTAATTCCGCTCACCTCGTCACTTTTTTAAAACTCTCCATAATTTTCATCTTTAGTTGTGCAATGATAGAGAGTTTTTACAAGCAGTAGAACATTCTTAGCTACTTTGGAGAAGAAAAAGGAACAGCAGAATGTTGAAAGTTTTACAGGAACACTGTCCTGCAGTAAGTACTTGGAATAATAAAGGTATCACTTGGGCATTACCTCACTGTTCCTTATTTTGCTACAATTTATGAATGGTAGTTGAGGCTAATTCGTGCATGTTTGTTGCAGGATGGTGAACAGAAATACACTGGTCAGTAAGCAGATGCATGAAGGCTCTTGTAAAGTGGTAAAATTCTGTTTGTGTGGAAACCAGTTGCAAATTATGATTGACTCCTGAGGCTTGAATTTCAGCCAGGTCTTGCTTGAGCAGTTCAGGGTAGTAGTCTTCCCCCAACTTCTATGACTGCTGAAGGAGAGACCTCTCCTGTACTTTTCTTCCTCTTCCAATTTTTTACTTGTCTTCCTCCAACTCTCACTGCCACTGCACTTTTGAACATTGAGGGTGTGTGTGACAGTGCATTTGTTAGTTTGCTGAAGTGTCAGACTTTGTCTTGGTATGAGTAAATTCTGATGCTGGCTACATTAATATAATTTTCCCTGAAAGAAAGAGCTTCTGGGCTGTAAAGATCTGCTGCTGGGGATTCTGTGGCTGTTACCACCTTAGCTGTCTGGAATTTTATGGAATTGGATTTTGAGACAGGGTCTAAAGAAAAAACTCAGCTGTATTCTTTCTAGCTAAATAGTAGTAGTTTTTGATCTGTGCTGCCACCTGTAAATCTAACCATTATCTTGCCCTTCTTTGAATGTTTCCTTTTAAGATGAAATGAGAATGGTAGACTGGAGCCAAAGTTTAAAATACTCAAAAATATTGCAAATTTGAGCTTTTAAATTTATTGTATCAGCAGATTCTTTTGAAATTGCTTTTGTACAGGAATTTCTGAGAAGAATGAGTCATGCCCGTGAATGCCAAAGTGCTTTGTGAGTAAGTGGGGTATTCTTGAGTGTGTTCAGCCATTATTTTCTAAGATAACCAGTGTGGCACCTTTGTGTTTTCAGTAAGGTCCTCCTGGTGGTGTAGTGGTAAAAGTGGCAGAGTAAGAGCAAATTTTATCTCTCCCTATAAGCAAAATCCTTTCAAAAGAGGCAAAGAAGACTCTCTCTGAGCTTTTATTCCTGCAGGCTACTCCTGAAGCAGTCATCAAGTTATGTAATGAAATGAGCAGTGACATGGTGAAGACACAGAAAGATTCTTCTGCTCGTACTCGCTGCCAGTGTCAGGACACATTAGCCTCTTCTGAGGAGCAGCAGCACAGGGCCACTGGGATGTAGCCATTGCCTGTTGGACATTAAGGACTGCTAGACACCATGCTGAGAATGATTATGAAGTATTCTAGAGTGAAATACTTTGAGTGATATGCAGATTTTGAGAGCTGTCTCTGTTCTTGGCGTTTGGCTGAATAGAGAGGATCATAACTCCTTAGCAGAGATAGTGGATGTGTGTGTTGCTTGCAAGGATTCACTTTGCTCCTAATTGATCTACAGCCATAGTTCTGTGACTTTGAGGCTCCTAGTATGGCAGGTACATCATAAATACTTCTCCCCTGATCACAGGTACCTGTACAGCTTACATATGAAGTTGCCTTTTGAGTGAGCAGAGGCATTTACTAAGTGATGTAGAATGGTTCATGAAAGTTTAATTTTTATTTTTAGTGGCGAATATTGGTATCTAACTATTTTGCATTCTTTATTTTCTTTGAATAAGATAAACTTGGAAAAAGCTCACTTCTTGTTGTCTTTGCAAACAAATCTTCAAAAGCAATTTAGGTAGAAAGGTATCATAATGCCCTTATGCACCCATTGGAGGGAGTGATTTCCCTTTCCAAATGAGATACAAGATGGCTTTTGCTATTATGTTAGTGTTGTTCTGGCTAAGATCACTGGCATGCCCAGAATGACTTGTAACTGGCAGCTACTAAAACAGCCTTCAGACACCCCTTTATCCCTTACTGAGAAAATGCTTCTCTTTTCCCAAGACCTTGTATTCTTAAACCCTTTGTAAAGTGCTAGCAGTTTGGCATTCTAGTCTTTTCTACTGTCTTTGACATGAAGCTGAAACTGAAATTTTCTAGCAAAAGGTGGAAATGGGTGCCAAAACAGAACGTTAATTTGGTTACAGACCTGGAAACCATTGCAGAGGTTTCAATAAGGCTATTATAGTGTATATCTGCTGTTTTTCTTCCAGTCCTTGAGATCTTTGAAGGAAAACTTACCTGTGGTTTGTATTACAAATCTTGTGTGTTTGGCTTCTTGTGTTGCCTTCTCTCCTGGGTTACACTAGTTCATATTTAACCAAATTGTTATCTGGCTTTAACATCAAGATCTTTTCTTATTTTTTGTGTGTTACTTTAGGAGCAATTTTGTGCTGCAGTTTTCTTAATTGGTCAGGCAGTGAGACTGCAAATGAGATATCCCTAAGCTTGTCTGGAAATTACTTTGTGTTGATAGGTAAAGCATGCCCAGGATTATTGTATCACCAATCACACTTACTTTCTGTGGGTAAAAAGTCATTTGTAGCTATAAATTCATGCTGTGAAATCTAGTTTTGTATTTTGCAGGTTGCATATCATAAAATTTATCCATCGTTTAGCAATTTCAATTAGGTTTTGGGGCCATAGTGGGTTTTTTATTATTTTTTTCTAATGTGTACAAACTGCATATGATGCTTGAATAAAATGTACCAGATTTGTGAGCCTTGATCCTTGGACAAAAATTCTGTTTCTTTGTTTCCTCCCCCTCTGGGCCCCCTCCTCCATGGTAGTCTTCCCTGTTCCAGATGCCATTCTTTGCCTGGAATTTAAAACTTGTTGTTTTCAAGCATGGTCACTAAACTCTTTTCATCTTTGCTATCCAGTTTTCAGACTAATACCAGATTGGTGTTTACTAGAAGATTAGTGTTCCCAAGGAGTGTAGGACTGATCAATGAAGTTCCCAGTATCTGTATCTCTGTTATTGTTTAGTTTATCTTCTGTCTTAACTACCTTAGCCTCAATGTTCTTACTGCATTTCAGATTTCTCTTGGTAAAAGCTCATTTTTAAAAATCTTGAAAAATAGAAGATGCTGTTTTTAATTTGCTTTTTCAACTCTGCCTTCAGTCAGAAAGAGCTGAGTTCCGTCCCTAGTGTAATGTTGATGTGAGTATTATCATTACTTTTTCTTATGCATGTCAGTTTTTCATTAAACAAATAAAACTTGAAGTGCTGTTTACTTGTGCAGTGCTTCAAAAATTCCACCTGGAGAGCATAAGTCCTGCTTACTCAGTAGAATGAGTCAATGTCATCAGCAAACTCCTTGATCAATTCCTTCTTTAAATCAGACAGAAATACTAGTATCAGCAGTAGACCTGGGAGCACACAATAATAATTGGAACTGGTGAACTAGGAATTAATTTTAATCTTAAGGTGGATGTCCGAGGAGGGCTTTTTATCAATATATAGGCATTATGAGTTTTTCTAAAGAGGCTCGTATAAAATAAAATTGTTTATTTAAATGCATCTAGAATGATATAGGCTTTGAACTGTTGAATTTAAAACAAATCTTGAACAGAGATGGTGCATGTCTTGTGGCACAAGGTAGGTGAATGTGGATTGAATGCAAGAAAATGTTGCAAACACTAAATGGAAGGAATAATTCCACTGATTCATCATCTTTGCTCACAGCTGTCATTTGTCTGTTTGATCCTGGAAGAACAATGGAGCTGGATACAAGCAGGTTGCTCAGTGGAGCAGTCGAGCCCTTTGTAGTTGTGCCTTCATTCTTTCACTGCTCTTTTCTGACCCAAGTGGGTGAACAGAAGGTGAAATTACTTTTGAGGAGCATTTTATGAGCCTTGTAATGTTTTTGTACAGCATCAGTGAAGTCTTCCATAGTTCTGCTAAAAATCATCTGTTCTTTACTGCCAGAAGGCAAAGAAATAAGTTTATTAAAAATAACCAAAACAACTCACTGAGCTATTTATAGGAAGTGGCATAAATCCAGCATAATCTGATGATATTCTTGTATTCCTTTTCTCTAACTTTCTTTTGCTACTTCCTGTGAGTAACCGTCTTTTGTATCTTGCTTGCCCTTTATAGGCCGTCTCCTGCTTTGTGATACATAAACACATAGTGCCACATTTCTTCTGAGATCACTTACTGTTCTCAGTCATTTACTGTGTAAGATATGTGGCACAATATATTCATGTGTCTGGGAGTGTGACAGCTTGTTGTGATATGTGTTAAATACAAACACAGCACGTGAATGTGATGCACACTGATATAAGCAACAAATCACAGCATCTAGAGATGAGTAAAGACAGCTAGGTTTCATTTGAATTTTCTAGTGCTCTGTTCTTTTATACCTTTTCTTTTCTTATACTCTTCTTCAATTTTAGTGTTACTGGGTGCCAGCATAGCCCAGTGTTCGTTGCCCCAAACCCTTTTCTCATGCAGCATCACTCCCGCAAGTTACTGAGCAAGCTTCCTTCCTTTCACAGAATCCTGGAGATGATAACTTGTTCGCTCTTTCCAGTTCCCTACCCTGCTCTTGTTTCATTCATGTCTTTCATCCACATGGCCATTGAGTTCTTCATTAGGGTTTTCTAATGAACATTTTTTTTGGTTTTGCATTTTTCACTGATGATGTGAAGGAAGATCATATGTGCTATAGTAATTTAGGTGGTTGCACTGGACTCAGAGGAAACAAATGGGCCATAGTTAGATGTGAAAGCATCTATCTGCAGCCTGTAGCAAGTGTGCTGTGGCTGTTGCTGCAAGGATTTGTGGAGGATATTCCTCAAAAGTTTGCCTGCTTAGCTAAGGAGCACAGAGGTGTTGGTGTGGGTCCAGACTTTATACAGGTGGTTCTCTTTACCACATTTATTTAATGCTGTGTGCACAACCGTTTTGACAGTCTGGGAGTGGAGGGAAAGAGGCCTAGGAGCAGGTTGAGCTCATCACACCTTCCCAGGCTGGGCTCAAGGTTGTGAGACCTGGTGCATTTGACTAATGGAATGCTTTGACACTAAATCTGTGTCTTTTTTTTCCCTGCACATTAGAAACTTTGCGATTAATAGTTTGATCCAAGCTTTAAAACCGCCCTAATTTGAAGAATTTGATTATAGGCTGTCTGCTGTTTGTCTCCCTCTAGATTTGTAGAGAAAAAAATGTGAGTTTCAGTATTGCTATTTCCAACTTCATGCAGTCTGCTTGAGCTGATACGGGAAGGGCTGTGGGTTGTTCTTGGAGTTGGGGAATACTGCTTGTCCATAATTCGCTCCAGGGGGGTGACCCAATTGTGGAATTTATGACTTCTCAACTGGAAGATCAAACCAATGCCCTCTTAAGGGAAACAGTGATAACAAATGTATGGCTCAGTCCTTGAATGAAACACTGTGTTAAGAATATTAGTCTAATGCGACAAGTGGAAGGTTTAATCGAACACTTACATATACATTTTTCATTTTTTCCTATAAGATTTCCTCTTCCTATAAGATTGTTCCACTTTAAGGAAGTTAAAATTGGAGTTTTCTGAAAGTTGTATTGCTTTGGTCTCCTGTCACCTGTGTTGTGGCAGCTGTTTCATCATCATAAAAGACTGAACTTTAAGAGCCTTCAGCAACAGAAATTGCCTAAGTGCAGAGCAGTAATATTTATTAGTCTAAGCTCATTACTTAATATTTTTGTGGAGCTTTTATAGAACCATGATTTCCAAGCCACGTTTTTTAGCATAGTTACAGGATCATCTGTGCATAATGATCTTATTGCCTACGTGATACCAGAATAATTGTTTTTACAGCCTGCTCTTGAGGTGCAGAATAAATGATCATTGTAAGCCTTTCTCACATTGTCATCTTTTAATCTTGATCCAATTATTTACACTGAGCAGCAAGATACAGGGTGCCATGCCCCAGACAGAAAGGAAAATTTACTCTTGTAGCTTGATATTTGAAATTCCTCAGAAAAGGACAAACTGTTTTGTTTGGAGAAAGCTAACAAGAAGAATAATTCTTTCCTGGACTTGTATTTGACCAGTAAAGGTTAAAGAAGGATTAGTTTGTAGATTAAGAAACAGAAAAGTTCTCCAGAATTTTCTTCCTGTCATGTCAGTAAAGCTTTCCTATCTGAGTTTTCTGTCTTTGTGTCTCAGGTTTTTTTTAAGTATCCCAGTGAATCTTCATTATGGCTGCAGGGAATCAGACTGAACAGACCTGATTGTGGGTTCAGGTCCTAATTTGGTTCTTCCATGCTGCCCATTAATGTGCATGTACTCTACACTCTAGACCAATGTTTTTGGAAAAAAAAAACAAAAAAAACCAAACACCAAAAAAAAGCATTATGTAAAGTCATACATCTTCCTATGTAATATATGGAAATCAACATTGTGAGTAACTAACTGGCTTAAGGGTGAAGAGGTTGTTATCCATGTACATGTAAAGTGGTGGAGGAATGGGAAGTCAGGCACTGTGGTTATGGGCATTTATTTTATTTTTCTCAAATTCTTTTCAGGGTAAGTGAAGAAAAAGAGGTGACGGAAGAACGGCTGAAAGCTGAACATGAGTCGTTTGAGAAGAAGATCAGACAACTAGAGGAGCAGAATGAACTTATCATCAAGGAAAGGGAAGATATCCTTTAAAAATATGTGCAATGGCTCACTGAAATAAAAAGTGAAGTACAGAGAAATAATTGTTCTAATTTATGGCATAGAATAAATCTGCATGTGCTGCCATTCAAAAGCAATCAGAGAGATGACTTGTCAGCATGTGACACTGGTTCATTTGAGCTTAAACTGCCATCCAGCTGTTCCTGTGATGTTGTTTTGCTATGAAATAGATATTTGTCAACTAAAAAATGACAATAAGGAATTCACACATTAAAATATGATTATAGTTAAAAAAAAAAATCTGTTAGGTGATCATAATATAGGTCTAAAACTTCTATGGTATTCTATTTTTCTCCATGTCCAGAGAAAGGGAAGCTACACTAAATGGATATAAATTAGGATATAAATTAGGTGTATGTACTAGGAGGTTTAGCTAGCTTAGACTTCTTGTTTGGTGTGGGGTTGGCTTGTTTGTTTGTATGTAAAAACAGCTAGCAGATTTTCTTTTCTTGCTAACTGTGACTTGCATTTCTTTAAACTGCATATGCTTAATCCCAATCCTGGAATATCACATTCAGAGTCACTATTGCAGGAATTGCATTTTTCCTTTCAGGGGCGTGACAGACCTTTACAAAGTTCTCTTGTTCGTTTCATTTCTAAATCTCTGATAGTGATGCTTTGTTGTTGAATTTCTCAGAGGGCTAAGGATTGGCTGCAGTGGGATAGGGAAGGGACAGGCCTGCAGCAACAGAAAAACAAATAGTGTGTGATTCATTGGGAGCTGCTTTGCCTATAGGGAGGATAGCAACGTTCTTTTAAAAAACCCAGTGTGCAGTACTGTTTTCAGTCCTGAGCCATTATTTGTTCAACTTTAAAATGAAGTTAGTGACAAAAAGAGGCTCTTCAAGCTATGGGCCAGTGTTGAAACAGAAATAGAGAAATTCAGAAACTTAAACATGAATTTAGAGCATGGTTCTTGAAAATTCCAGCAATCCTATTTCACAGTTTAGTACTGGGAGGCTTAACAAAAACATTGCTTTCTTTCTGATGGAACTTGCTTGCCTTGGGAAAGGCATTCAGTGATGTGTGGTCTCTGTCAGGAGAGCATTGCCCCTGATGACTTAGAACATCCCATGTAGCACAGTAGCCACTTATTTTTCTGGAAAGAATTTTGTCTGTTTGTCCTAAATAATATACACATCAACAAACTTAGCTGGCTGTGAACTGTTAATGGAAAATAATAGCTCTAAGGTATTTCAAGAGCCATTAGATGTGACAACAACTCTGACACTGATTTCACTGAAGCCAGTATTTTGTTGTACATTACATCATGTATATTCAGTCAGCTCATGAATGTGGATGGGATGCATGTTACTGATTTTTTGTTACTTATCCACACAAAGCTTTCCCTAATTCACATGATGTTTATTTGACTAGTGGAAAGTAGACATGCTTGCTTTTTTTGTTTTGTTGTTTGTGGTTTTCTCCCTTTATTTTTTTCCTTTACCAGAAATAGATTGCACAAGCATGAATACTTTTCCAGAAGTCTGGTAGACATGGCAGAAGGTTAATGCATGCAATTTTACACTTCATAAAACTCTGTAAAACCTAGATATATAAAACAAGGTTATAATTTAAAACAATGTAATTTTAACTGCTGCAATACTTGCCTATCATACATGAATGATTCAAGATCTTCAGTGTAACTCTGATCACTTAATTTTTTAAAACTTGCAGAGACAAGGAATAGAAGAAATGACTTGCTGAGGCTGAATACAGATTATGGCCATTTCAAGTACAGCAACTTGAAATTCTTTAATTTCTCCTGGATTGTAGTCTCCCCCTGCAAATAAGATATCAGGGATATAATACCATAAGAAAAAAATCGCAAGTCTGTTAAAATAAATTACCTTTTTTTTTGCCCCACACAGCTAGTTTATTCTCTATAAGATAACTTTCTTTACTGCAGTATTTGAAAGTACTCTGCAGTAGTAAATTGGTGCTTCTGATATAACTGCAGCTATCCAGCAAAGTGCAATTTCAGCTTGATAAGAGTTTAGTTCACTTAGCATGGGGACTGTGTGGGGTTTTTTTCAGCAACACGTATTTTTGTTCTGTTTTTTTTCCTTGAGATTCTTGCAGAAGAAATATTGTTTGGTGCTTGAAATTCCTAGTTTGAGGAAAATCCATTCTTATTTAGTTGTGGTTGATTTTTTTTACCCCTGAGAAGCTATGAAGACCCCTCTGTTCAAATTTGCTTCTGATGAACTATGACAGAAGCTTTGGGGGAAGGGAGATAGATATGCAATGATCTCACTACAAAACTTTGAGTAGCTTAATCAGCATTTAAAAAACAGTATCTGTCTTCAGCCCAAGCTCACATTTACTTTGGAACTGTTCAGTGCTGTCTGGGTAGGGAACAACAACTAAAATTTCATGCAGATTTAGAAGTCAATTCTACCCTTCCTTAGCCGGTGAAACTTTGAAAATTGAGTCCTTAATACTAGGGATTTCAAATAGTCAGCTGGTCTGCTCCTTCTTCCTAAAGCAATATTAGGCCTATCATGTTATCTTATAATTTTGTCAAAAGTAGTTGTTTTGGCTTGGTTTGCCTCATGACATTTACACTTCAGACTTCTTTCAAAAAAAGCTTGATCCAAAGTGTTTCAAACAAAGTGTTCCAAAACCAAAAGAGGATCAAAACTTTTTTTTAACTCTTTTTCTTATGATAAACTGGAAAGTGCTAGTGCTGCTCTTCTTAGATGTAGAACTTAATGGTGTTCAGGTACGCATGCTGGGATGACATCTCTTGATGTTCTTACTAAAATTTACTAGTTGGGCTGAACTGGATAACCCAGTAACAGCTGCTCCCACTCTTTTCATGCCCTCCCTAATGAAAGCGTTTTACAACTATGAAGATTAGACAGAGTGATAGGTAGCACTTTCTGAAAGTGAAGTTTACATAAAAGATAAAGAGGAAAAATGTAAATGGTGTGTGTGTATTGGGAAAGTGAGATCTATGATGGTCCAGAATCTAGTCTGGAAAGAAAGACTTGGAAAAGGAGGTAGTGCTGGACGTGACTGATGTGAAAGCAACAAAAGCCTGTGACTGATGAGTTCAGAAATGTTTGAGGTAAGCAGTTAGTGTTAATAAGAGCTGAGATGGTGGCAGGTGACCTAGGATCAGTCAGACAAATGTAAGACAGCTGATGCCAGCAGGGATATGTCTGTTTAGGGTATTCAAGCACTCTCTGAACTTTTGAAATAGAATTTGGGACTAAGCTCGTGTGAAAATTATTTCCATGTGTAACCTCCTGTGGTGTCTTCTACAGTGCCTACTCTCGGTGTTTGTGTTCTGTTTGCTGCTGTGTGGTGACTAAACTGCTTCTAATGGCAGTCTAGATTCTGGCATTGGCTTTGGAGTGTGTGACTTGCAACTCCTTTGTTCTTGTTTGTGTTATTTCATTTGCATTTTCACAGTAAAGGATGAGCAGTGTGCACCATGTTATGCACTTTGACTACTTGTGCTGCATTTTTTTCCTCTTTTGCTAGGAGCTGCTAATAGAAAAACTTTTGGCTTTCCATTTTTTTTCCCTGATGTATTTTCAGGCACCAATTATTAATTTAGGTGGCTGAAAATTGTAATATAATTTGCATGTTATTATAATACAATAAATATAATAACTTAATAAATAACGAATATGATTTAATTTAATAATCAGGAAAACATCCTTTGTAAGATGTCCCAATGCTGTCATGATATATGTCTTAGGAAAAAAATTATAATGAGATTATTAAGAAACAAATACTGCTAATACTTCATAGCTCAAAGAAGTTATTTTGTGGTCTTTAGCTTTTCTTGTTATCACCATTAGGGATTTTTTTCATGTAAATTTGATGCTGTTTCATAAATGAAGAAGAAAAAGCATCTGTAACATTTCTGTAAGAACTTATTAATAGGTGAAGAGGAAATTAAAAAAAAAAAGAAACACTGATTATTGAATTCTAAGCTCTGCTTAAAATACTATTATATACACAAAGAATAGGCAAATAAAGGAAAGAAGAGATTATGTTTATTATGAACTTGTTTTTCTTTTTTGTAGATTTAAACTAGTCAGCTGTACTATGCTGCTGTTTTGGTTTATATTTAGAATGTACCGGTGTTACTTAAGCTTTTCGTTGGAATTATTTTCTGACTGGACTAGACTTGCAAAATGGTTTGACCCTGAGATACCATCTAGGTCCAACCCCTGGACAGGGACGCCTCCCAGTAGACCAGGTTGCTGAAGACCCAGCCAAATTCACACAACAAATCCTGTATGATTTACTTGGCTAGCCTTAAAATTGATCCTAGACTCTGTTTACATATGTCCTTAATGTTATAGAACTACTTAATTAGTTGGTTTTGCATGCAGTTAACATGAATATTAATTTAACTAAAACAGTTCATTTGCTTATAGTGTTAGTGAGACATAGAATATTAATTTGCTGGAAGAATAATGAGCTTTATAAGCGTTATCTAGAGACTTTAATAAAATGCTTTTAGTTTTGCCATAGTACTGTTCATTACATAAGTCTTGCATACATAAATTAGGGCCACTTACATATTTTCTCCTTTTCCTTTCTTGCCGTGTTAATGTAAAATGAGTAGTATTTTCAGAAGAAAAAGAGTTACTGGCTTGCTTAATGCAAAGAACAAAATGGTAGAAAAATGAGATATCAGAGTACAGAATTTGTTTGCTGGTTCTACCTTATTTTCCCTATAACGTTAAATCTGATCTGAAAACATGAACACTTCTGCTTCCTTTCCTTTTTTAATCACAAGGGCACAAAGGTGGCCTTACACAGAGGGGCTTTCTTTGGTCCTGTGTTTTGTTGGTTGTGTGGTCCCAGTGTCCTGCGTGGCAGATTCGTGTGTGTGTGCCTCCCTGGGGCTGCTGTTGGCAAGGGACAATTTGCCCTCAAAATGACAGCACAGCATCAGGGGGAGGTGGGGCACAGATATCAACATGGAGTTAAGCA